TAGGTGTCGGCCACGTAGGGAGTGATGAAGTAGGAGATGATGGAACCGATGTTGAACATGTTGATGAGGATGCCGAGCTTGTTGTTGTCGGAGACACCGTCGCCGAAGAAGTCCTTCCATCGCTGCATCTGCTGAGACGTGTTGACGAGCATGCCATCGTAACCGGTAGTGGCCGAAGCGACCATGAGGAAGATGGTTGAGAAGTAAAGCTTGCGGAGATGGGGCTCCTTGGTCCAGTAGACCTTCTCGAAGCGCGGGGCCTCGGCCTGCGCAATGTCGACATTGACAGCAACCTGCTGCGAGACGATGGGTTTCTTCGCCATTGTAGCGGTGTTTGATGCGTTGACTTCCTAAAGACCAGGGAAGAACGGGAAGGGCTGATAGGGAGAGTATTGAAGTTGACTTGGCCGACTTGCGGGTGGGGAGAGGAAAGAATCGTGGACGAACAGGGCCAGCCTCGAGGACTTATATGTATTTCTCCCACATCTCGCTTCTGGCCCCTTACCATCGGCGTGGGAGCACCTCAATATTGCTTTCTGATCTGCACGGCTGCTGACCCCGGAGAGATAAAATTCTCACCCCATTTGGAGATGCTTACCCCATGAAGAAGACATCTGGGGGAGGCGGGGGTGTGGCAGGACTGGAGGTGCGGCAGCGACGGTACGAATAGGCGGCATGCGGGTAAGAATGAACAGAGTGATTGGGATGGGTGTATTTCTCCAGAAGACATGGCGTTCAGACCGAATCTAGCCTTGTTCGTCTGTGTGAACGGGTGTTGTCCCTGTCTCTGCCTGACCTCTTGGGAAACGCCTCGTAAATTGGCAGATCGCTCTAGATAGGCCCAGGCAGGCAGGCCGGGGATTGGTTTGGTTTGCGGCACAGATGCATGACCACCCAGGCCCGGAAGGGACCTCGGCAGGGGTTTGAAAGGCTTACAGTGCGGTGATTCGTGGGTTGAGCGTAGTTGCATTGGGAGTCGTTAGCTCCATGCCTCCATTCATGTGCCGCAAGAACTGGCCGGGCGGTTTGCAGCACACAAAGTGGTATGCCAAAACGTTTGTCTCCGTTCCGTGTGGGTGACAACGCGACTTTGATGCATGAAGAGCAAGGGGGCTTGAAGGCTTCCCCGTGGGTTATTTGCAAGAATATTGCCAACCCGACCCCAAGCGTCGTCCCGAAGACTCCCAGAAGCGGCCTGCAGTTGCATTGAACGCATTTGTTGGCTGATGGACCCCTACGTTTAAACCTCACAAGGATAGGTACAGAAAAGGTCTAAGAGAACTAGGCTTCTCCGGTCCGCCGGTTCATCAACCAAGGCTAGATGGATTGAACCATCAATTAGAACTAGGCCGTAATTGTCAAGTTTAGAATACAACGACCTACCTTTCCGAGCTCATATCTGCTGCCCGACAAACCGGTAATGACACTGCAGCATCTAGGGTTTTTTTGCATCGTTTTAACAGTAACTTGCGCAGAAATTGTTCATCGTTGAGTTGGAAACCGAAAAGTCTAGACTTTACGGGCTGAAGGAAAGCCTGACCGTGCTAGCTTGCAGCAGTTTGCTCTCTGGCTCCCAAGAGACCCGACTTCGCGGGTTTCGCAGAGTGGCAATGGAATCCCCAGAGTACGGGTCACTCGAGATGCCCAGAGGCTGAGCCTGAGTAAGCTTCTGCCGTTGCGGGACAAGGCTTGGACCAGTCAAACCCAAGAAGAATCATACCTGAAGTGTTCAAGGAGCTAGCGTACCAGGCATCGGTTCAACAGCCCTGTCTAGCCCCGGCGAGATGCGGTTCAAGTGTCAAACTGGCTAATGGCAAAGCGGCACATGTGGTCTCGCGAGAAGGGCCGCCTGGCTAAAAGCCCGGCAAAATAAGAATGCATTCAACCATCCGCAGACGATTGGTCGGAATCGCACACAAGCCTCGAAAAGGTAAAGGCTGATCGCTGTAAGAAATGGGATGTGTGTCGAAGATGGTGTGCAATGTAAGGGAAACATGGAACCCGGGGAAAACACACATAACTTGATGGTGGGCTTGGGTGGTGGAGATCTAGACAGGCTATTGAATAGTTGAAAACTGTGATGGTGGTGGGCTGAGCGTGATGACTGGACCCCTCGGAGACAAGCAATGCGGGTGTAAGGCGCAAAATGACTTAGGCGAGGCGAATGACGGATCAGAAGTCTTGACCGGATGTCTTGGATAAAGGCCGTACTTTTTGTAACTCGTGTCTGAGTATGAACCAGTGCAGTTTAAGCAAGATGGCTCGTCCCGCGTGAGACCATTGTAGGATGAGTTGGTTCGTAAGATCCTGTTCTATGCGTCGTGAACATTGGAAGGGCTTTTGTTTAGAGAAGGCTAGTGAAAGATGCATGGCAATCCGGGGTGTTCGGCGTTCTAGGAGCTCACAGGTGCTTCTAACGGACATGACGGACTTCGCGCGCTGTGAACGAGGTCTTCAAACAACTGTGAAGAGAAACCGTAACGAAAAGGAGCGTGGGCTGTTGGCGCCGGATTGTTGTTCCCCCAATGATCCACTTCCCCATACGCAAAGAGTGGTAGAACCCGCAATCATGCTTGGTGGGGACACTCCCAGTACTAGCGAAGCTCATACTGCGGATGGAATACTAATTTCTTAGCGGTCGAGGCCGAGGTGGTGTCATGAATCATCAACCCCTTCGAGCACACGTCTCGACCCTGCTAGAGTCGTCACGAAGGTGCGTACTTTGATTGTCAAGGCTCCAAAGGCATCCGGCTTTATCTGTTTGGGATGTCTCGTGCTGAGGTCGGCTCGTAAATCCTGCAGTGACTCAAGATGATACTGCTCCCGGCCCTGGCAAATGCGCAAAGAGGTTGGAAGGGGCCAAGACCGACACCGGACCAGCACCGTTTGTCCACGCGTGATCATGCAATGTCAATTTTGCAGGGACTGGGGGAACGCCACAAGCGGCACGAAAGGGTGAAGGAAGCGCCCTTCCGGAAGACAGGCCCGACCTCGTGCGGTGTCTGACAGGGAGACTAACCCTGATTGAGACTGGCCCGCTCAAGGTTGTCGGGTTCCCGAGCTGTCTCTGGAGAGCAGTTCTGCTGTATTAACTCGGGTTTATGGCATCCCTACCGATATTGGACCCGAGGAACGCGAAGCCTCCGCAGAAGACGATATTCTCCTGGTTGTGAACTCGAGTTGGGAGTTCGAGGTCCAACACAGTGTTTAGTGCTGATGTCTGTGTTAATGGTACGCCCCGCCTTGAGACGCAGTGAGCCCAGAAGAACCAAGCCTTGTTGGTGTTTGCAGGACGCCATTGGAGCGACAACCAGAACACGCAATTGCGGTTCTCGCTTATCCCTCGATATGCCACATTGTTGTGGATACCCGGGGAAGTCTGGGGTTTGACTGCTTGACTCGACAAGGCAACCTGTCGTCGAAACCATTTAGGCACTGCTGGTGGTCTTCCCACCGCGTCAATCCTTCCAACTGGGCAACAATCTACGGTCGATCTAAGCAATGCCCATCATGGTGTTCCGTCGGACGCGCTGATCTGGTCCTTTGATAAGTGGCGGGATCCGTATAGATGCATTGGCGTGAGTGGCACTGATTGCTTGACAGATATAAGCATCATTGGCAAGCCCCAGAATTGCAGTACCCAAGGGGACACGGGGACCAGTATCCGGCATGTCGGTTCTGCATCGAATCACCGTCAGTTCTAGTTCCTCACGGCACGCTCTACGATGTCTCATGACCCACCGACGTAGGCATGTTGGAAGCGTGGCCTGACGCCTTCGAATCTGGGGAAGTCCCTCCTCAGCTCGACTTCCGCCAAATGAAACTGAAAGGATGCCGAGAATATGCTGCTGAAACAGATTAGCCTAGCACCAGCCCTTGATACGCCGCCCCTTTTTGCGTGTAAATAGCCGCTGCACGTGGTCTGTAAATAGTTGGCCCCTGAGCACATTAGCCGAGAACCAGCATCGTGAAGCGGCTGGCCGACGCCCCAGAGAAGCGTCCCAGACCCATGGAAACGCCACAGAGCCGGGTAAAGTTGAGGTATGGCACCTACTCCCAAAACAAGTTCCAGCAGGAAGACAGGGGTAATGCGACGCGATGCAGGTGAAGAGGTAGCTTTCGGTCGTCCGGGAGGATTCCGAGGATTCTTGCAGATATTGTGGATGCGTCGCAAACCGCAACGTGGATGCTGGAAAGGTGGGCATCAAGAGTGGCGGGCAAGAACAAGCCTCGGGTTGGATGAAAGCCCGTGGCAAAGACACAAAGCAAGCACACTCGCGGAGCGTGAAATAAAACGTGTACGAGGAAGAACAGGGAGAGCCAGTGGGGAAGGTTAGATATCCCATTTTGGTCTTGGCCCGGGAAGCCCAAAGAGAAGGAGCCGAGACGGTGACACAGTAGGCATGGCAAGCACGGCAGCGCGTCTTCCTCAGTCTTCGTCCCACCACGTGTTCTTGTCGGCCATGAAAAAGCGGACGGTATCGGTGATGTCCAACTGTATGATCGCACATGGTTGGGCTCGTTCGCCCCCACTTTGGCAGCTGGGTCTCCAATGCTCTCTCTTGCCTTGACCCTGCCGGCTTCAAAAGATCACATCCGCGATCCATCCATCACACCGTCATCAGCAAGTTGACACACTTTTGCATCTGTTGTCTAAACTAAACTACCTGCATTGTTGGTATCTCGTATGAAGCTTGGTTCCTTCCGATCCGGTACAAAGAAAAAAGCCAAGGTATGGCCTCGATATCCGTTACGCCATTACGCCAAATGGCCTCTCCAACCCTCTGATGGGTTGTCCAGCAGCTTTTGTGCTGTCTTGGTTGCCACAAAAACCTATCCCAAATATCCTACTCAAACATTTTCAACCTGGATTCCCTTGCCAAACATATCAGCAGCTCCAATGCCGCGATCATCTGGTAAGAACTCTCTCCACATCAGAGAAGCAAGAAAATACCACCGTCCGTCATAGCGGTTCATAGAAGTCCAGAGTCGCTCACAGTTCAGATTGACGAGTCCAGTTCCATGCTATCAGCCACAGACTCAGCGTACAATCCGAATTGCGCATTTCCCTGTGATGACGAGCCGGAAACACCCTCCAGCTCGTTAGTCGTAATAGACTGGAGTGCCTTGTTGAACTTCTCAAGCTCGCCCTTAAGACGCTCTCTCTTGTGGGCAGTGTCGTTGTCCTCCTCCATCAGACGAGAAAAGATCATGTCGTCGTGCCCACCAACCAAGCCAAGTTTCTTTTCCAGGAAGAAGTCAAGATCCTGGATGATCTTTGGCATCATGCGTGATGTGATCGAGAGGCAAACCGTGTCGGTGAAACGGAGGGCAGAAAGCATGTAGTAGCCGCGAACATAGGCGGCTACCTTCAACTCCTTATCGAAAGCGTCCGGCCCCATCTTCGCTAGCTCACCGATATGCTTTCTCTCCTCATAGCTCCGCTGGTCGGGGGTCATTTTCTCCCAATCATGGAACTCAGATGCCTCGCCGGAAAACGCCTGCCAGCGCATAACATGGCGATACCGCGTCAGTACCCGGCTTTCGGAACGCTCATAATCCGCGAAGGCGTTCTTGTTGATCGTGAACAACTGGAATGTCTCCATGTCGAAGACCTCCTTGAGGAAGGCCATCGTCTCGGCGCGTCGCTGGTTCAAGAATTCGTCCATGAGGGCCTTAGACTCCTTGAAGATCAGTCGCTTCTTGAGGGAGCCAAAAGCCTGATCGAGAGCATAGTCGACGATCTTATGCAGTCGACTCATCGTCTCGTGCAGGAATGTGGCCATGGGCTTGTCCCAGTCTTTTACTGCTTTGTTGCAGAGATCTTCGTACACCTCGTCGGGAACGATGCTAGGCATGCCGGCCTTGGTCTTGGCTCTGATGTCATCTCGAATCTGCGCCAGCGTCCGAAATCCCGCGCCGTGGTTGAAGTACTGCTGGAAGGAGCCAACAAGTGGTGCCGGCTGGGGCAGCCTTCTGCGAGACGGAGTGGGTGGCGTTGAGCCGCCGTCTTCCGTCTTGACAGCCGCTGTAAAAGAACCACCATTGACGGTAGGTCGCGGTCTTTTCGCGCCCACATAGCCCTGACCTTGCGCACTACGCTTTCGGTTTCCAGGAGTAACGTTGGGTGAGTCATTGTCATCATCAGAGATTTCGAGGACAGGAATATCAGATTTGTCCTTCAGAACAAACTTGGGCTTCATTTGCAATATGCAGTCGCGGAAACTCTCCGACAGACTTCCGTAGTTAGAGGAAAAGTTTCTTCCGCGGAGAGTTTCCTTGACGATGGTGGAAAAGGCCATCAGGCTCTTTCTGACCTCTAACTCGACGTTGTTGGGGAGTTCGGGGAGCGTGCTGAGCTGTCTCTCAATTTCACCGAGTCGTGTCTGGACCTTTTGCTTGATAGAGGGCAAGCTGGAGAAGTCAGTATCATACGTACTTAATCACGGCGAGGGGGTTCTTACTTCTTGGCAAACTCCTTGCCTAATTTCTCTGACAGAGCCGTCTTGAGCTTCTCGACACCGCATCGCTCTCGGAAAATGTGAAACTCTTCTGGCCAGCGTTCGCTACTGTCCTGATGGAAGAAGGCCTCCTCCCAGCGTTGCTGCTCGTCGAGGTTCTTGTCAGAAGGGCGAGACGTGATGAAAAACTCATGACCAATCTTGTGACGCTCACCACGTAGCATCGACATCCACTGGTTGTTGTTGCCTTCTGGTAGGAGATCAGCTTTGGTCATGACCCCGATGGTCCGTTGCTGGGCGCGGAGGTCGCGGATGATGGATAGCGTGGAGGATGTCTCCGGGTCGACGTTCATCGGCACAGCCCAAATGATGAGAGCACCCGCGTGCGAGATGTATTGGCGGGCCAGGTTCTCCACCACGGACACAAGGTATTCATCCTCTTCTCTGGCAGAGTTACGAAATATACCGGGCATGTCATAAAACGACAGGTCGGGCAGGTCAGGACCCTTGATTTCCAGCGCGACCGTATTGGGACTGAACTTTGCCAAAGTCTTCTCTGCCTCTTCATCAAGCAGGCTCTGCTTCGTGATGGCGCCAGTGCCCGGGACGTAGAGCTCATGGTTCTGGTCGTGGTTGAGGATGGCGATCTGTGCCCATTTCAGGACCGTGTCGATGTCTGACTGGTCGTAGATGGTCATAAATTCCTTTACGACGCGTGCTTGCTTGACCCATGGAGGGAAAGGGTTCTCAGCTGTGACATCGGCCTTGGTGATGTTGTAGTTGGGAGGGGGTCGGAAGGCATAGTCTTGTTGCAGAGAGACACGGCAAGACCACTCGGGCCCACCACGGTCTCGGGCACCGCTGCGGGAGACGCGAATGTGTATCGGACAGCGGGTGCAGACGCCTTCACTGCGTGGCAGGTTGAGTCCAGCCAGGCCCGACATGAGGCTAGACTTTCCGGCGGACTGGTCGCCGACTAAGACCAACTGAGGAAGTGCGACATCATGAGAGACGCCAATCTGCTGAAGTTCACCGAGCGTATCGTTGAAAATCTTGACCTTGGCACCAATGTCTCGGAAGGAACCATCAAAGAATGAGTCGTTCTGCATGGAGGCGGCGGGAGGATCCATGTCGCGATTTCTGACTTGCAGAAGGACCGGCTCGCTCTCGTCGAACGTGGGGTTCGTGAGTGCCGTCCGTACGGAGCGAAGGCCAGGGTTGCTGGGGATCAAGACTGAGGGTGTCGCTGTGAAATCGTCAGACATGAAAGTTGTAAGAAGGCGGACTGCGGAGGAACCCACGAGCATCAGATCTCATGAAAGATTGGTTGACATCGGCAGGTCCGGTGTACGAGCCGGCTTCGTTTCTGGCCTGCTCCGAGGAGCCGTGGAATGTATTGGTGACAGAAGGAGTGGGAGAGGTGTTGCTGTGATGGGGCGCGCCAGGCTCGGATTTGATGGGCTGGGTGCCTCTTTGCGCTCTTGCCTTGGTCATACTGGGCAAAGTGAAGCAGAAGAGAGGACCGAGATGTACGGGATGGCGAAGAGTTTATGAAGAATGCAAGTGTTCGGCCGGTGGGAAGATACAAAGGAAGGACACAAGGCCAATTGACGAAGCAGGCAACGTTTAGGTAACGAAGAATGAGAGTGAAGTGAGAGGTGAAGGAGAAGTGAGATACGCAAGATGAAAGTGAAGCTCAAGAAGGTGAGGGAAGGAGCTCCGGGGAGCTTCAAAGCTTTAAGAGCTCTTTCCTCGTTTGGGTGACCTGAGCAACGTGAGGTCCCCACGCTCCAGATGCTCACCTGAAAGTGCTTGTCAATGTTAGGCAGGACTTGCATCTGGTCCAAGTCACCGTCTAATTCTTGGGGTAAAAGGCTGCTGAAGCCGATGTGGACACTTCTAGAGATAGCGAAGAGAATCGCTGCAGGTGTGGCCACTTTTCAACTGATTTTACAGGCTCCTTGCTGGTGATATTTTGCGATGTGTCTGGTGAGGTGAAGTACCTGCTATCAATGATTATTGCAAACTGGAGCGAGCGAGGTGCATCGCTGGTTTCTTTGCAGGCAGGGGTGTCATGGACCTCAGGGGCGCAAAAGAATGGCTGGCGGTGGAGCTTGGCTGTGACGATCCTACGGCAAGAGCATAACGCGCGCGACCAGGTACCTGCTGGACCTCTCCAAGATGCACAGCTGCCTGGCAAATTTTGCGGGAGATGAGTGCGTCCTCACCTGGTCAACCAAGTCACTGTTTGCCTCTCCGACACCAATCGGCGCGTGTGCTGCCTGCTTTACACGCTCTCGACACGCTCGTGTACCTACGCGTAAATTGGCTGGACCGGATTCAATTGGAGAAACTCCCTGCAGGTAAGTCAACTACCGATTCTTAATCTTGCTTAATGTTGCTTCATCCCAATGATGAGGCAGGCTTTGAGGGAGTCAAGGATGACTCAATAATTATCCATTTCATAAATCTCAGCATAGTACAGCATAACATCTTAGTGGCCCAGCTTCCATTGATAAGGCAAAAGGCTGTATCCTGCTTTACAGCTGGCCAAAGAGGACAGTTCAATATTCGTGGACAAAAGAAAGCATCAAGAGGCTTTGAAAGGGACACGAATGAGGTGCAGAGCTCATCGCATGTGTTCCTGTGTCATTTAAACAGCTGAGGCTCGTTCCTGCCCAGCAAGGGAATCCATCCCCCGCACAGGGTCCTACAGATAAGAGATACCTTCTCGTCACTTGTAAAATGCGCTGAACCCAAAGTCCCTCGATAACAAGCTCAGGGACCTTCCGCCACATCTCGATGCGGCACGAGCCACCCAGTGCCCCCCTTGGACCCCTGCCAACACATGCATTGCCTGCCCTGCGCTGCGCTTTGAACTGGTTGTTCTTGGGACCTCAAGGTTGGGTGAACTTCTCAGGGGGGCCTTTCCTTCTCTAAATCCACGAAGCGGTGACGTTGCAGTTAGCGACCACCTCAATACGGCAGCAACCTCCAGTGACCTCAACCGCACAGCCGTTCTTCCCCTTCCTCATCACCTCAATCCCCAGACTCCCATTCCCGCGCAAATCATGTCGCTGCAGGTCCCCTACCGTGGAAAGACGTCCAGAGAGGCTGCCACCAAGGCTGTTATTCTGGTAAGACCGCCTTTTTTTTTTATTGGAGAGGGGTGTTGCGCATCGCTTCACCGTGCGGCGCGTGCATCTCGAAAAAACTCCCCCGCCTTGTTCCCCTCCAAAGAAAGCGCTGTCTTGTCCTCTGCAAACGGCCACAAGCTAACCAAAGAACCCTCAAAACTGCAGGTCGGCGGTCCTTCCCGTGGTACTCGATTCCGTCCTCTTTCTCTCGACGTCCCCAAACCTCTCTTCGAGGTCGCTGGCCACCCCATCATCTGGCACTGCCTGGCTGCCATCGAGCGAGTCCCCGGCAAGGAGATCACCGAGGTCCTCATCATCGGCTACTATGAGGAGTCCGTCTTCCGCGACTTCATCAAGGACGCCTCCAGCGAGTTCCCCAACCTGACGATCAAGTACCTGCGCGAGTACGAGGCTCTTGGCACTGCTGGCGGCCTCTACCACTTCCGCGATGCTATCCTCAAGGGCCACCCGAGCGCCTCTTCGTCCTGAACGCCGATGTCTGCTGCTCCTTCCCCCTCCCCGAGATGCTCCAACTCTTCCACGACAAGAACGCCGAGGCTGTCATCCTGGGAACCCGCGTCTCCAACGACGCTGCCACCAACTTTGGCTGCATCGTCAGCGACGCCCACACCCGCCGCGTCCTCCACTACGTCGAGAAGCCCGAGTCGCAAATCAGCAACCTTATCAACTGCGGTGTCTACCTCTTCTCCACCGACGCCATCTTCCCCTCAATCAAGACAGCAATCAAGCGCCGCACCGATCGTCCTTCGCGCCTCGTTTCCTACCCGAGCTCCGAGAACCTCGAGAACAGCTTCATTATCACTGACGACGAGGAGGAGCGCAAAAACCAGGTCATTCGCCTCGAGCAGGACATCCTCGGTGACTTCGCTGATACCAAGTCCTTCTTTGTCTACGAGACCAAGGACTTCTGGCGCCAGATCAAGACAGCCGGCTCCGCTGTCCCCGCCAACGCCCTCTACCTACAGAAGGCCTGGCAGAGCGGCTCCAAGGAGCTCGCCGAGCCCAGCGCCAACATCATCCCTCCTGTCTTTATCCATCCCACCGCCCACGTCGACCCCACCGCGAAGCTGGGCCCCAACGTCTCCATCGGTCCCCGTGTCCACGTCGGCCCCGGTGCCCGCATCAAGGAGGCCGTCGTCCTCGAGGACTCGGAGATCAAGCACGACTCGTGCGTCCTCTACTCCATCATTGGGTGGGGCAGCCGCGTCGGGGCCTGGGCTCGTGTCGAGGGCACGCCCACCCCCGTCGGCAGCCACACGACGAGCATCATCAAGAACGGTGTCAAGGTCCAGAGCATCACCATTCTGGGCAAGGACTGCGGCGTCGGCGATGAGGTCCGCGTCCAGAACTGCGTCTGCCTGCCGTTCAAGGAGTTGAAGAGAGTGAGTTTTTGGTTCTCAGTCACGATTCCTAGCACTAACACCTTATCTAGGACGTTGCAAACGAGGTCATCATGTAAGCCTGCGGGCTTTGGGTATGTTGGATGTGGTGAGGATAACGGACGACGTAATGAAGAAAGGATATGCATTGGGGTCAGATAGAGCTCCGTCAGTCTTCATAGATGCATGCGTCTTTGGTCACAAAAAGCACAAGTCGATTTCAGCCAATTCAAGAGCATTTTGTTTCGTTTGGCCGCGCCAGTGTGATACGAGAATGCGAGGTGACACCTAGCATACCGCACAGTAAGCAAAGTCTCACATGCTTCGCTGTCTCACGATCTGTCAAGGCAAGCTCCCGTATAAAGTTCGCTTGTTTGCTGAGGGCTGTTCGAATGAGCAACAACTTTTTCAATTGCTGCCGTGGGTACATCCTTATCTTGCGCCAACGGCGGGAGTGGTTATGACTTTTGGCCTCCACTCGTGCCTGTAAAACACACTGACCTTTTTGCTGGCGTACCAAAAGAGAGTGGTTCAGTGTTCCTCCCGATTTAGTACTTGTAATGAGAAGAGGCACTACGTTTGCACGTTGCCGCAGACTGCTCGCCGATACAGTGTCGTATTTAAGACTGTGCCGCTGATCTCTCCACGGGTTCATGCAATAGGCCAGTGTCTATATATATATCTTCCCTCCGTACCACATCCGTGCCAGAGGAATGCCGGCGTTGCGGACCATTATCTTGGTGATATCGCGTAGAGCCAGGCGGGAGGTGAAGTCAGGCGACAGGCTAGCCTCGGTGGCCGTATCGACCTTGATGTGGCTGCGTCTAGCGATGGAGGTCAGGTAGAATGAACCTGACGCCGCTCACGTACTTCTGCATGACCACTCCGAAGCCAAGTTGAGAACAGCCAAGGACCGGAGATCTTCCTGGTTCTTATGGTTATTCCTGGAGACGGCAGGGATGAAGCTAGAAGTTCGGCAAAGCCACGGAGTGGTAAAAGCAATGTAGAGAGACTGCTAGACTGAAAAGTCCTTGGCGGTTTTTGCTAAGTGTTCGACGACGAGACAAAGGCGAGACTCGCCGGCCGGCCTTTTTAGAACGGGGAAAGTGGCTGGAGTCCAGCTTCTAGACGCTGTTCGGCGGGTTGTTCATTAGTGCCGGGGGGTAGGAGTAGCAGCGGATGAACTCGGAAGAGTATGCTTGCCGGGAATATCTGGGAGACTGTCGGACATCTGGTGATTCCTAGCATGAAGACGGCGATGTCTTGAGCAAAGTCAAGAGACAGCTAGGGCGAAGACGCACCAGTGCCGGTACTCTGCAGCCAGGAGCCAGAAGCCAACAAGTCGTTGGTGCTGGCCGTGTGAGAGAGGGTTTGGAGATCAGGAAGGCTAGCGGAATGGTCCTCCACCTGGACCCAGGCATCTGCGGCGGTGGTATGGATGTCTCTGTGTGATAGGAAGGTTCCTTGGTATAGGCGAGGGGTATTGATACAAGTCGCCTCATAGAATCCGATAAGGCCGCCGGTGTATTTATCCTCGGCGTATCAATCAGCCGCAATGGTGCTGAGGAAGCCGCATGACCGCGAAGAACGGCGTAGAGCCCAGAGTGGCTGTGGAGCATTTAGACACAGAACCAACAGCGAGTGCCCCTCGGAAGCCAAGATTTCAGAGTTGCCTGAAGCCTCAGGTGCTGAAGATTGCTCCCAAGATGCGAGGAGTGGTCTGCTGGCTATTGGGGATCGTAGGGCCGGAAAGTGAGAGTGAATCCCTTTTGAAGGAGTACCTTCTTCGAGATGCCTACTTCTGTTCTCGAACCTGCTCTGCCCATTATTGCGCCAGGTCGTTTGTGTCGGTATGCCAGAAGGGCTCGGAGAGCCTTGTAGGACAAAGTTGGAGAAAAGAGTGAATTGGCTTCTTCTGGGACGTGGGGGAAAAGAAAAGGAAGCATTGTAAGAAGTCAAAGTCTTATCCGCAAAACACCTACATCCAACAAGAAGCTACTCGTCCATCATCAGCAGCGAAAGTCGTGGTAGAATACGCGACAAAGGCTTCAAGAGATACACTGTCGTCCGTCCAATTGTCCGCCGCTCCGCTGGGATAGAATCGTCGTAGAAGATGCGACTAAAGGGTCGATAGAGAACCGCATCTGCTTCGAGGTCACATGCCATGTCTTCCACTGGTGAAACCATCTTTGGGCTCTTCATTTGCACGAAGTTATACATCTTTAGAAGAAAATGGGGGGGTGGGGGGGTTGGACGATATGGAAGTCGCTATGAGATGGTGCCTTTTGTCGCCTGTAGGCTGAAAGAGCGCCAAAGCAAATATCCGAGAAGGAAAACAGCAGATAACAGAGAAGGACACTATGATCAATATTTATGACCAGCAAAACTCCGCCTTTCCTTGTTTCCGGTCGCCTCACAGCAGATCGTCTCTACGTATCGAGGCATTTCGCACCATCCCATTGCCGCCTTTTCGGCTCACTCCCAAGTGAAACACGGAGAAGGGTGCTGGGGAGTGGAAAAATACAGTTAGTTATTCAAAGCGTACCTTGGTAACTTCTGGCTTCACACCATGAGGGATGCCGCTTCTCGCCCATTTCAGCGCGGCACTGGGTGGTAATTAGCGTGGTTTTCACAGTGGATTCCGAACTTATTTAAGCATAGATGATATCGCTACTCACATCTCTTCAACGCCCCTCGACGTCCGATTCGTTGTGAATGTACGCCATTTCAGAAAAGTCCATCAACATTAGGCAGGGCTCAGTTGCATTCAATCAACTGCATCCTTCCACCCTACTGAAGTCCTGAATCCCAGGGGATGCTCAAGGTATTACAATCACGAGTCAATACAGCAATACCCATCAGGTGACGATCAATCGGTATCGCAATGCACAGACCAGAACAGTTTCGCTTGGAGCACGTTCAAGCTTCACCTATGGTGTGGCGGATGAACAACACATCACTCGACGCCGTTGAAATGAGGTTGGAGATGCCACGCCAAGGCAGCCGCACATGGTGGGCCAAGGCCGCCAGTTGATCTAAGGTACCTTAGGTAGGTACCTAGGTAGATGCCGCTGTGGGGCCTCCGCTTCATCGCCTCGGCACTACCTACCTAGGTTTACTAGGTGTGGTTGAGAGCGCGAGCTTAAGGTGCTCCTTCCCTCTTTCTCCCTCTCTGCCTCTGATTGCGGGCGATTGGTCTATGCGCACAAAAGTCAACTCCAGCCGCGTTACATGCACCGCCATCCCGATTCGCTCCCTCATGCAGACAATCTGGTTTCCTCCAATGATCCAATGTTTATCGGCGCAGCGAAACATCGGTCACCACTACCACAACGCTGGGTCCCCATGCAATGAGACGGAGGCAGCCCAGCAATAACCTCGTCATGAATGATCAGAGTCGGCTTGCGGCTTCCACTGGTCTCCGTCAATACGCTGAGCCAGAGGCCTCCTGACAGAGCAAGAAAACTCAAAAGTATACACCGGGCTCCAACATCAGCGTTCGTAGCAAAGTCGGTTATCGAGCAGCAAGCAGAAACAATGCGGACGTTGTACGTCGACTGGCATACCATCGTGGCCCCCGGCACTTGGGCCTCAAGTGATGCCGTCATGTCCTGATACAAGCTACAGACTACGTGCTGCTCCCACGATACACAACGCAGCCAGGGGAGGCAAGCCGCGATTTGGTGCTATCAGCAGCCTGCGACGAGTGCAGCCTCGACCGGTTTGAGATATGACCGGATGAAATCAGATGGCGATGCGGGTGCCAGCATGCGCATCCAACACTCTCCCGCACAGCACATTAATTTGGATCACCGTGATCGAGCAGTGGCATATATTTTGTACATCGCAATTGTACCGTCCAATCTTCACTGGCAGGATCGTCGCTCTCCCTTACTGATCAGTCTATATAGGACCATCTCCGTGTCTGGCACCTACAAGCAAGGAAAACAACCATTCTGCGCAACGGACGATCGCACCGAGGAGCTTCGCAAGCGTTCCCCTTGTCCCCTGCATGCTCAACCCACGGACTGGACCTGGACGGGCTTGACTCTTTCTGGCAGCTCCCGCCGCCCCGCGTCGCCACAATCGTAGGCCTCGATAGCAAGCTGGTAGAGAAGATGCTAGACAAGTATCCGTAGCGCTGGACACTGTCATTACGGTCCGGTTCCAAGACGGTTTGATGGCACCATTGGAGGGAGGCGCAGGAGGGATGTTACTGACATGCGAGCTTGCCGGAGCGAACAAAACAACACCCGCCGTCTTCAAGACATCTCCTCCCCTCCCCTCCCCTCCCCACCACTACCGTGTCTTCTAGTATCCGCGGGCTTGGAAGAGAGCCGCAGGCCAGTCAGCAAGCGTTAGTCTTCGGCGTGGGCGGATCGACGCAGGCTCTTACACTAGCGGGCGGTGCTAACGCAGGGCGCCGAGCCGCGACAGGCCCGCGTTCCCCTGTGAAGTGGCGCTAGGCTGCGGATGCTGTGGGCCTGAGGACGCCAAAGGGGAAAAGGTGGATGCTCAAGGACTTCCTTTTTCAGCCGGATTTCTACAACCAGCAAATATCGAGCAGCTTGGAAGATGGAGGATGGTGACTAGCAGCGACAGCAACCGCCGAAATCTCAATCCCCTCCCCTTCGAGCCGACTCACGAACATCCAATCCACCCTCTTTTCGGATCCAGTGACGAAGTGGTGATAGGATGTCAGCAGGTCTCAGCAGATGGGGATATTCGCCGATGTTCATACGATGATATCATGAAAGCTGGGTTGGCTGAAACGCATCAACATCAGCCGACCAAATGACACTCAATTCCCCAGATTCGAGCGCACCAATCCTGTTTCCAAGTTTTTGGCTCAATGATGCCGCCAAGGACGGTTTTCAGACGAGGTTGCACGCCCTTTGGGCTGAAAGTATCTAGATCGAAGCCGTACCGCCCGTGGCTGGTATGGACCAGAGACAACGTGTGTCATTTTCGACCTGGAAGCCGACGACTCGGCCTTTATCCGTTCAAGGTACCAAACTCGAGATGCGCCATCTTCTAGGTATGACAGGCTAGGCTGGCAGCACTTAATGTTTGCCTCGACAACGGACATCCTGGAAGATGGTTTCTTGTTGGCGGAACCATTAGCTTTCTTTCATGTTCTGCGCCAGACGATTGCAAAACAGGAACGAAGAAAAACTCCGGTGACACGTTCTAAGCCACCCCAGAGCTAGCAACCAAACAACAGCGACGACTCCAAAGCAAGGGATCAAGACAGTCTCGGTCTGTCGAGAGTTGTCTAAACCAATCTGCTTCCCAAAACCACTAGCCCCTTTTGCTTTTTCCGCGCCAGGGACACATTCCCTCCCCTCCTCGGAACGTTCCAATCGAGCTTAATTCTCCAACCTTAACGGACGGGGAGAAACCGCCATGTCTCGAGGCCTCACTGGATGGTTGATGCTGCACCATACAACCATGTATTCCACCAGTACCCGTTTTGCGTGGGCATGGCCTCCACCACTGCAACCCCCTTCGGAAACCGATCTGTGCACATCCCGGCTCGCCCCCCTCCTCACACAACCCCTCACCGCAGTTCCAGGTCCACATCTAGCACCATGATACGGCAAGCCAAGACAGCCACACAGCCTAAAGACGGGCCAAGCCCAGGACCCCTTTCCAGTGCCGGCCTCCTGCAGGACCTGGTTCCCCCTGGGAGCACTCTTCACCCCCGCCGCCGCCGCATGCCCAGCATGCAACTGAAAATCGACCGATGCTTGTTTTCAGATGCGCGTTCACCCAGATATGCGGCCTGCCTGCTTCTTGGAAGCTCAGCATCTCACCAAACAAGCCCGATGAGTCCGGCAGTCTACAATGTTTGGTCTCCCCAAGCGGTCATTGGCCGCGTCGGCTGTGGTACCTGATCAGCAGCAGCCACACGCAAATCGAGACAGATTCTCCAGCTTCAAGGAACCTTCCCTAGCGGTTGGTCGTGCAAGCCTCCTGTCTCAGCACAAGACAGGCTGGTTGTATATCCTCAGGCTTTCAACCATCAAGCGTCCTGCTTGTTGCGACAGCTTACAGGCCCGGGGGGGGGGGGAAGGGGGAAGAGCCCTTGTCGTCGTTTCGCAGAACCACGCACTTGACTGCTGCGACAGGGTAGAGTGACTGCTAAAATAGCAGAGGCACGAAGCCGCCTTCGAAGCGAGTTTCCTGTTTGTCCAACCGCCTCGGGTATGCAATTCCACACTTCGTCATGACTCGATGGGAAGCCCACTGCGTATGGTCTACCTGTACTTCTGACATCACGAGGGCCGGCGAAATACTGAGTCCATGGATTTTACGTTTACGTTTGGGCTTCAGCGCTGGGTGCACAACTGAACCCATGCCACTCACCCTGGTCCCGGCTGAGGCTTGTCTCCAGCCTAGCCCTGCTGTTGAAGGTGACCCCCGATCACCCCTGGGCTTTGCCCACACCAGCAACAGTCAGTCATCTACCCATGCACCTACGCATCCCATAATTGCACTCATCAATGGATTGGCTGAAGATGTAGTGAGGGGCCAGCTTGGCTGTGGTATTGCTTCTGCTCTAATAAACCAGGCGAAAAGGTACTTGCAGATTTGCTTTGTTCAAGGTCTTGTTTGCAAGTAGCCCGCATGCCTTTTGCATAAAGGTGCCGACGAACAGGTACAAGTGTCCGCTTCGCAAACAGACGGCTACAGTACTTACACCACATTAACACTACTGCAAGGTCCTTGGCTTATTTGCTCCATCAAATCCACACTCTGGACCTCAAAGACGCCCAACACCCTCTGCTGAAGTTTGTCTTCTACCCTTCCCACTGCCGGGTTTGCTCACTACACAACCCTCTTTGCGTATATGAACCACCAGACCCCATCTCTCACTCCTTTTCACCCTCACTCTCTTCAGCTCCCAGGACTCACTCTCATTCCACCCCTGCCCATAATCTAACTCATAGGGCTGGCCATCCATCAAGAAGCCTGTTGCAATTCCGTCACCGAACATATTTGCCATCTAACCTCTTTGTGTCTCGATACTATTCCCATGTCGCAATAGCTGGAAAGAGCCAAGGGGTAACGATCACCTCACGACTCACACGAACCGGGCGAGAACTATCGACGGGGATAACAAAGCTTTCTTCCGCCCTTGGACATCCTCATTCTCATAGCCTCCGTGATCCCACGTGGCAGCGGCACAAGAGGAAACCCCTCGTCAAGCAGCACCCGCCTTATTTGTGTGACTCTTGAACGAGGTCATAACTTCACAAAGGGGGTCAGCTATATCCTCGGAGGCACACCATTCACTCTCTTTTGGCGTGGGAAAAAAAGATTTGGGCAGTGGGCGAAAACAAAGAAGCTTTCTCTCGACCACATCACCACTTCCTCCTTGGCATCCAGGACTACCACCTTGAGCAACCGCCAGATCATCACCAAACCTTCCACAAAAAACCTCGCAGCCAATCATCAGATTACAAAACAGACTTCAGGTACGTGTTAAACCCTTCTGCCTCATCTCTAGTTGGAACGAGCTGGGCAGCAACCCTTCCCTTGTCCTTGCGTCAAGCTTCAGCCCTCGGCCTCCGATCCTTGGCGAAGCCTTGAAGTCCCCCCCTTCACACGTCTATTGCCGTTTGGCATCACGATCTTACGTGTACCTCATCAGCCACGTTGCGACCGACCTATATGGGCACTCATCATCCTCAATTGAGGATTATTTTGCTAACTCGTATATAAGCAGATACCCAAAATGCGTCTCTCCGCGCTTGCTACCGTCGCTCTGGTTGGTATGGTCTTCGCCACGTCCAAGCCCTCCTCCACTGCCAATTTGGCACCCAAGGACGGCCCTCCTCCCTCTTGCCAGACCAACTTTGATGGTAACTTCGGTATTACCGTCGTCGCGCTCGGCACTCAAAGCCTCCATGTAAGCTGCGTCGCCACCACATGCAGAAGTGCGCCACTAACCAATTCAACAGAAGAGAACCTCGTGCAATGGCGACGGCTCGCTTGACATGACCCTCAAGGACGGTGTCTTGACCGATTCGAAGGGTCGCATTGGTTCGATTGTTTCGAACTTCCAATTCCAATTCGATGGTCCCCCCAGGCCGGTGTGATCTACACTTCTGGCTTCTCTGTCTGCACCAACGGCTCTCTCGCTCTCGGCGGATCCACCACCTTTTACCGCTGCCTCTCCGGTAACTTCTGGAACCTGTACGACCGCAACGTGGCCGAGCAGTGCTCGCCCATCCACCTCGCCATCCTTCCATGCGGCCAGAAGGCTCCGGCTCCAGCGCCTGCTGATGGCCAGGTCGTGGGCAGCGTCACGGTCGCAACAGCCTTCGTCACCGTCATGACAGATGGCAAGCCGCAAGTCGTTGCCACCAAGGTTCCCCTTCCAGTCTGCCAGATCGGCGACGGCCAGATTCAGGCCCACACCACTCTCTGCGGTAAACCCCCGCCTGCCACCCAGTCCGCCTCCCGGCCAAACGCCACGCAGCCTGCAATGACGCCTCCCGTCGCTCCGCCTGCCCAGACAACTCCTCGGTATGCGACTCCTCCCAACTCCACAGCGCCCATCAAACCGCCGGGCACTGCGCCGGGAAGGCCCGCGGCGACAAAGCCGGGTGGATCGGCCAACCCGGTGGCCCCTCCCGTCGCGGCAGGCCAGAACCTCGCTCCGGCCTCATTATTGGCTCTCGTTATCACGATCTTTGCGGCTCTGTACATAGTCTAACGACATTGCCACCAGCTTTGGAAAGGACTTAATTGGTCTAGGAGAGGAGGTTTAATACACAACTTTCACGACTTCTCACAGCGCCTTTGCCTTGCAATCGGCAATATTTAATGGATGATGACGTAAAATGGACTCTTTGGCGCGGAGACAGGAGAGGGTCTGCAGGCTTGCAGACGGGTTCGGAACACAAAACAGATTCCCGGTAATTAGTACCACTAGAACAATACCAGCAGAAAAGTACATGCAACATCATCCAATGTGGCCCCAACGTGATACCCGATTGAGTCAGTTGGGTCGTGAGAGGTGGTGCACATGTCATCGTGATGAGACAGCGTGCGTCCCAGGTCGCGATGAGAGTGCCAAAATCGCATGCCGTGGCCGGCATGCGACAGTACCTTGGCAACTTGGGTAACAGACGACTGCGGGGATTTAACCGGAGATCCGCCGTGCACGGGCCAATTTACGCGTTTGCGCCGAACCTCGAAATTCTAGCACGCGCGCGAGCCTGCAGGCGGTGACGTCTCGCCTGCAAACCGTCTCTGTTACTTTCGACTACTTACGAACCGACACACAACCAACCCGCCCGCCCTCCGTCCCTCCAATACGCATCAAAATGTCCGAGTACTGGAAATCGACGCCAAAGTACTGGTGCAAGCACTGCAGCATCTTCGTGCGCGACACGAAGCTCGAGCGCCAGAACCACGAGGCGACCGGAAAGCATCAGGGCGCCCTCAAGCGGTTCTTGCGCGACCTGCACCGCGGCCATGAGCAGGAGGAACGCGAGAAGGAGCGCGCGAAGCGCGAGGTCGAACGCCTGAAAGGCATCGCCCCGGGTCCTCGGCATCATCCTTCTCGGCGCCGTCGTACCAGAAGCCCGGGTCGAGCGCGCCGTCGACATCGACCGAGGCGCAGCGGAAACAGCAGATGGAGCAGCTTGCCGAGATGGGCGTGTCGATCCCGACGGAGTTCAGGGGCGACATGGCGATGGCGGGCGAGTGGACAGTGACTGCGACAAAGGTCATTGACGAGAACGCGCAGGCGGAGAAGCCGGTCGAGGCCAAGGCGATGGGTATCAGGAAGCGCGAGCAGACGGAGGAGGAGAGGGAAGAGGAGGAAGCCGTCCGGGGCCTGTTCAAGAGGCCGAAGAAATGGGGCAGCACAAGGACGATGCCGGAGGACGACAAGGACCTTGACGCGCTGCTCAGCAGCAACACGCTCCTGCGGCCTGTGAAGAAGGAGGAGCCTGCTGAGACGGACGTCAAGACGGAAGAGAGCTCCGCGGAGGGCGAGGTCAAGCAGGAGGAGGGCGCGCACGGTGTTGCGCCGGAAGCCAAGTCAGATGCACCGGCGATCAAGAGGGAGCCTACGGACGATGATGCTGGCAAAGGCCTCGATGTGCCAGCATTGGACGATGACGTCGTCAAGAAGGAGGAGGACGCAGCGGCGGCAGGTCCCACGGAGGCGGCGGCGCCAGCTGTGGTGTTCAAGAAGCGCAAGCCCAAAAACATTCGTCAAAAGTGAGTTTTTAGGTGGGGGTCAAGGAATCCGGGGTGCATAGCGACGGCGTTGGGAAAACCCCTTAGACTTTTTTTTTTACGAACAAACAAACAACAGATCGACGGCCGCTCAAACCAGCGGCCTAGTCCCCCTTCCTTCTTTTTTTTCTTCTTTCTTTCTTCAGGACGCTGCCATGGAATGGACGTCTCGGTTCGTCTCCCTCGCCGGTGCCTCCTGCATGGTTCTATTGCCTAGTTGATCCGCGGATCCCCTCTCGCGCGGCAAAATCATGCGGCGTGCCAATGACAAACTCACTCTACGTTATCTTCCCCAGAACGGGGTGAGCGGGGTAACACGTGACTCACTGAAGAACCGCTCCTTGGCGCGGTGGGTTAATTCATTGAGCGGCCGATGTCCTCCCGTCTTTTCCTGGGGGGAAGCGGGTATGGGTTTGGGGTTCACTCCAATCAATCTCATTCAACGACCCAGAATTTCACCCAAAAAAAAAGTCAAAGCATTCGCGCCTCATCTCAACTTTCCTTGGTACCCACGATTGGAACCATGAGGCTTCGGAATGCAAAAGACGATGGTGTCTCCCCCAGCAGCTAGTCCCTCCTCAACATCCCCGGCCAGTAGCTCCCACCTCGGCAAGCGCCACGAACTCAGCGAGGACGCGCAAGACTCCGGCAGCGGCGGCGGCGGCGGGTACGGCCGCAATGGCAAGCAGTCGTCGTCGTCGTCCGGTTCGCGCCCCAAGAGGGCGCAGGTCTCGCGGGCCTGCGCCCGGTGCAAGAACCTACGCCGCGCGTGCAACGAGTACCGCCCGTGCAGGCGGTGCGTCGACGCCGGTCTCGGCGACCAGTGTCTCGGCCTGCCGGGTCCCGTCTCGGTCGCCTGGGTCTCGGACGGCTCCCAGGCCTTTGGCCACGTGCCCCACGAGGCCGTCCAGCGCATCGCCGACCTCCTCCCGGCGCGCGTCATGGACTATTGCGTCGACCGCTTCTTTGCGCGCCTGAACCCCACCATCCCGATCCTGACGCCCGAGTACGTCGTTCACCTGAAAGTCATCGCCGGGCCCTCCGAGCTCGGCATGGAGGCACATTGCCTCTTGACGGCCGTCTGCGCGCTGGTGTTGCTCCAGGTGGAGGAGCCAGAGAGCCTGTGGCTGCAAGGGCTGATCCCGGAGAAGAACGCGCTCCACGGGCGGATGCTGTTCGAGGAGGCGCTCGCGGCGCATCGCAACTTTGCGCGGCGGTCGAACCCGAGTTTCGAGCAGTGCCTACTCACCTTCTTCCTGTACGCGTGTCACTCGGCGCTGTTCCACCACAGCCAGGCCTTCCTGTTCCTGCGGGAGGCGACGACGCTGTTCCTGCTGCTGCGGCTCAATACCGAGGCTTCGCCGAGGGGCTGGCGGACCGGCTGTTCTGGGTGCTCCTCGTGTCGGAGCGGTCGCACGGGATCCGGTACCGGCGGCCCGTGACGCTGCAGATCACGGCGGAGTCGCCGGTCATGGACAACGACCCGACGCTGTCAGGGTTCTGGAGCCTGGCGGCGCTCTTCAGCCCGCTGGACACGTCCTTCATCGCGCTGCTGAACCAGGAAAAGGTGGCGACGCCGCCGTCGAACGCGGCGCTGACGTACATTGAGACGGCGGTCAACTCGGCGCTGCGGTCGACCTCGGACCTCAAGGACACGCAAAAGGCGAACCTGCGCGTGACGCAGCTGTGGCTGCGCATCATCCTGTGGCAGCTCCGGCTGCGATTCGGGTACCTGGCGGAGGAATCCGTCCACGCGAGCATGACATACCACTACCCGCTCGAGGTCGCCAAGGACCTCGTGCTGTCGACGCGGGACCTGCCCGTCGACAGCATCAAGGTGCACGGCGTCGGGCTCACGGAGAAGCTCTTTGACATTGCGTCGGCCGCCGTGGACGTCCTCGCGCGCGTGCCCATCACGCCGTCGAGCCCGCACAGCGTGGGCTCCGGGCCGGAGGAGGACTTGAACTACATGCGGCGCCTCATCACGCGGCTGCCGGGCGGGAACTCCATCTACGACGACCTGTTGGACAAGCACATACAGCAAGCCGTCCCGAGCATGGCCGTCACCTACGTGGCGTCACGTCATCCAACCTGAAGATTAATAACCACACACACAATCGCAAACACACAAGGCAGAAAACTCAAAACAGCAAAATCAAACTCTTCAAACTGAGCTCGGGGTTGTTCAATATGCATGAGATTACGCTGGTACTACAATATCTAGTGGCGCGACAGCTCCAGTTGATTTAAAGGGGTATCTTTAACAGGTTTTCAAAGACGCATTCATCGCGGGCGCATCGTGCGTCGGCGGAACCCGGCACACTTCAATGCTCCTCGGTCAGCTTCTTCTCGCCGCCGAGCTCGTGTGAGTAGGGGTCGATCTTGGTGCCGGCGAATTTTCTAGCGGGGACCTTGTGCTCGAAGAGCAGGTCCAGCTCGGCGTACGTCCGGCCCTTGGGCTCCGGCACGCGGAAGTAGACCCAGACGGACGACAGCAGACAGGTACCGGCCCAGAACAGGGCCGTGCGGGCGCCCCAGTTCCACGCGGTCGAGGAGAGCTGGTAGTTTGTCATGACGTTGACAAAGATGTTGCTGGCGTTGTAGCCGGCGCGCGCCATGACAATGGTCTTGTTCTTGAGGCGGGTGGACGACAGCTCCGAGACGAGGGAGTAGGTCACGGGCCCGACGGTGAAGTCGTAGACAAAGGTGAAGACAATGAGCATGGCGCCGATGGCCCAGACGGAGGCGTTGGCGCGGGAGAAGGAGAGGCAGCCGACGATGAGCAGCAGGGCGAACTGCGCGCACAGCCCGGAGAAGTGGATCGTGCGACGGCCGATGCGGTGCATGAGGAACCAAGAGCCCGCGGTGCCGACCATGCCGAGGGCGTACTGGCCCATGGACAGGCTGAAGGAGTTCCCGGGGTCCATGCCGGCCTGCGTGAGGAAGTAGGAGAAGTAGCCCATGAGGTTCTGGCCGCCGAGGGTCTGGACGAGCCAGATGCCGATGACGATTTCGGTGCGGCGCAGGTCGACGCCGCGGAAGCAGTCGCGGTAGGTGACGCCCTCCTTGACGCGCTTCTCCATCTCGTTGGTGTGCTCGATCATGGCGATGGTCTCGTCCGGGTTGAAGTTGGGCTGGTTTCGCGACGTCAGGCGGAGGAGGGCGCGCTTGGCCGCCGCCCTGTCGTTGTGCCGGACGTACCACCAGGGAGACCTGTTGTAATTAGTACATCGGGTCTGTGTTTGTAGTATAGGTTTGCGGCACGGGGAGTCTTACTCAGGGGCAAAGAAAAGGCCAATGAGGATGGGGACGGGCCACACCCATTGCACTCCAAAGGGGATTCTGTAGGCCCATTCGTCCTTGTGGTGGAACGAGCCTTTGTTGACGGCGGCGGAGAAGAATTGACCAATGACCTGAAATCTGTCAGGTCCGACAATTTTCGATGCTCATTCCAAGATGGTGACTTACCCAGCACATGTTGATGAAGGTGGTGAGGTACGGTCTGAGGACGACCGGAGCGACCTCGGAGGCGTAGGCGGGCGTGATGCTCTGGAAAGCACCCCATGGAATTCCTATCTCACCGTTAGAACACAAAATTCAAACATGAGATGAGTTTGAAGCCATGACTCACCGCAGAGGACCTCCCCGAGCACCAGGATCTGCACGTTGGGTGCGAAGAACAGCACAAACACAAAGGCAATCATCAACACCAGGAAGCCCATGGTCGTGACCCGGTACCCATACCGATCCGCCGCCCAACCGGCGATGATCAGCCCAAACACCTCGCCCGCGCGCGCGCCATTGGACAGCCCGGACTGCCACGCCGCCGAGACGACGTGCTTGCCCTGCGCCTCGCTCCAGACGCCGTACTTTTCGTTGAAAACCGGCGACGAGTACAGGTTCCCCAGGAGGGCGAGGTCGTACCCCTCCATGATGAGCGTCGAAGAGAGCAGGACGGACCAGCCGATGGCCTTCGGGTAGGTCCTGACGGCCTCGAGGAGCGTCATCTGGTGCTCTGCCCGCGCGGCCTGCGCGGCTTCGGCGGCGAAGTCCTCGGGGTGTTGGTCAGGGGTTGCATCCTTGGTGGTGATGTCGTCTGCGTGTTGGTGGATGCCTGTTTCCTTGTCCTCGTGGACGGGGGCGGGGGCTTTGGGTCGGACATTTTATAGCGCTGGTTTGTCCAAGATATCTCGACTATGGAGTCAGATGAACTGAGACTATGGCGTTGTGTCCTTGTGAGACGTGGGACGACCAAGGAGACAAGGAGGAGCTGGCCCGGGGATGCGCGGGAGAGTCAGTCGCCTCAGGGAGCAAAAAGTCAGCCGGATGAGGAGGGCATTCGCGTCGTTATATACCCTCGTCGATGGTTTGCCCCGGGTGAGGAGTGCTGTTTGACAGTCCTAGGGGAAACGGGTCGTAGTCAAGGTAACATTGCGCGAAGGTGAGGAAAAAAAAAATCTAGTTCGAGGGCCGTAAGAACAGAGAAAACGCCGAGCCTTGAACCGTGCGTGGTTTTTTCCCAAGTTCTCCAATGGGAACAGATCAGGCCTGGGACGGGACAGGATAGGCGTGCGGATGCGTATAGAAGGATGCGTGAGATGCAACGGCTGCGTCGTGTTGACTTTCCAGCATGGACAAAGTATGTCAGCACCGAGAGGCACGGGTGTGCTTTGAGGCCAAGCATCTATCCCTACGCACTTCACTCGCCTGACGAAGCAAAAGCCGAAGCTTCCCCCAAGACGGGCAAGCAGGGAGGGGCCAAGACGAGGCCCGATTGTCGAATCAAGTGGTTTTCCCAACTCCATGGGAAAACTTTTGTGGAGAAGCGGAGGGCGAGAACAATGGTGGAAGGGCAGTGTGGGGGTGGCTGGGGAGCCCGTGAGATTGGGTCGTTGACAAGAGAAAGTATTGGTTTCCCCAAACTGCCTCAACGGCTGTAGATGGTCTCGATCTGTGCGAGAAGAGACTTCACTACCCCAGCTTACACCCGGTGATCATGTCCACGGTTCGTGCCAAGAGTGCAGCTGGAACCCGGTCTGGAGAAGGTCTCACGAGGCGCCAACAGGAGACTCCGCCGGTGACATGTTTCTGGGGGTGGCTCGGTCAGTGGTGACATGACGCTATTCGTATTTTGCGAGGGTCGAAACTAGATTGCTCCGAGGTTTGGATCCCCAAGCTGAGCTCCATGCGGGTGCTAGTGTTGGTGTTTGTGCAGCTTTCCCCGGATTCAGACCACCACCAGTCCTCCACCGGCTCTCTAGACTCGCGGCCCCGAACCCCGTCACCACTCTTTTTTGCTCAGTCTTCGATGTAAGTCGGGGCTGATTGGTCGGCCGCAGTGACGTGAGTGGCTACCCCGGTGGGTAGGGGGGTCGGAGGGAGGTGCGGAGTCTAGCGGAGCAGCTCCGGATGCCGAGTCGACCCTTTTTTCCCGTCCCAACAGGGGAGGCGGAGTCTCCGCCTTTGATTCCTTTCTCTTCGACATGTTCGACGCCTCCTTCTCAACTGCTCGTTTGCTCATCTGATATCCGCCATGGACGGCGCTTGCGGAGTCTACTGCAGTCTGATTTCCAGATCGTCGGTGCGCTGCAGAAAGAAAGAGAAAAAGGAGCGAGGAAGGAAAACAAGACATGTGCGTGCCCCGACAAGACAACACCGCACATCTCCGCGTCTTCAACCGCGAAACCCACAGCTTCTCCCGCATGAGGGGAACGTAGCGTGGAGAGTCCGAGGTGTGAGTGAGGGGAAAACCACACAACCAACAAACTAGGTACCCAGCAATTGGAGAGAAATAGGCGGGGAATCCCATCCTCCGCCGGACTTTTCCCCGGTTCGACGACTTGATCCTCCATTCATCTCCCTCTCCCGGCCCTTTTGCGGAGTGATTCTACAGAAATGCAATGCCGTTCCATGGCATCAGCGTTTATGCTCGGCCGAAATCTTTCCTCCACCACCCACCTCCATACAGAGTTCCATCCGGTCCTGTCACCCCACGCAGCGACGCCCATCCCTCCGGCTGCAAGTCATGTTGCCACGCCAATTTCTGCCACTGCCGCTGATCGCGGTCGTTTCCAGGTTACGGTGCAGCCCGTCCGGCGCGTGGTCAAAATGCGGATCGTTCCCGGCGCGTCTGGCCTCTACCCATTGACTCCGGATCTCTCCCACACCTGACTTTTTGTTCCTCAGCTTTCTCCGTCGCATCTTCCCTCGTCTGCGTTTGTGGCTCTCCTCTTCCCACCCCTTTTGGCCGGCCGCTACTACGACGTGACTCAAGATATCTCGGCAACGCACCTCCGTCACCATGGGATCTCTGGTCTGGGACGACGAGAACCGCTGGGTGGGCAAGCAGCCCTGGTGGAAGGACGCAACCTTTTACCAAGTCTACCCCGCCAGCTTCAAGGACTCGGACGGCGACGGCTGGGGCGATCTGCCCGGGCTCATCGCCGAGGTCGACTACCTCCATGAACTCGGCGTCGACGTCGTCTGGGTCTCCCCCATCTTCGACAGCCCCCAGGCCGACATGGGCTACGACGTCTCCGACTACCAGAAGATCTACGCCCCGTACGGCACGGTCGAGGACGTCGACACCCTACTCGACGAGTGCCACCGCCGCGGCATGAAAGTCATCCTCGACCTCGTCGTCAACCACACCTCTGTTGAACACGACTGGTTCAAGCAGTCCCGCTCGTCCAAGGACAATCCCAAACGCGACTGGTACATCTGGAAGCCCGCGCGCTACGACGAGAACGGCACACGCCACCCGCCGACAAACTGGCGCGGATACTTCGCGGGCCCGACGTGGACGTGGGACGAGCGCTCGCAAGAATACTACCTGCACCTCTACGCCCCCGACCAGCCTGATCTGAATTGGGAAAACGATGCTTGCCGTGAGGCTATTTACGAGGACACGATGCGTTTCTGGCTGGAGCGTGGCGTTGACGGCTTCCGTATCGACACCGTCAACAAATACTCCAAGCGAACCGACTACGTCGACGCACCCATCACCGACCCCACGTCCCCGCACCAGCCCGCGCCCGAGATGTGGTGCAACGGCCCGCGCATCCACGACTTCATCCGCGAAATGAACCGCAAGGCCCTGGCGCCGTACAACGCCGTCTCCGTCGGCGAGCTGTCCCTGACGCCGCACCCGTCGCAGGTGATACCCTACGTCTCGGCCGCCGCCAAGGAGCTGGACATGGTGTTTGAGTTCTCCGTCATCCGCCTCGGCAACGGCAACGGATTCGGCGCAAAGTACATCTACCAGCCCTTCCCGCTGTCGACGCTGAAGAAGTACACCGAGACGTGGCAGTCCTTCATCGAGGGCACCGACGCGTGGGCCACAGCCTTTTGCGAGAACCACGACAACGGCCGTGCCGTGTCGCGTTTCGGGGACGATTCCACGCCGGAGCTGTGGCGGGCGTCGGCCAAAACTATTGCGCTGTGGCAGGCGACGATGTCTGGCACGCTGTTCCTGTACCAGGGGCAGGAAATTGGCATGACGAATATGCCGGCGAGCTGGGGCATCGAGGAGTACAAGGACATTGAGAGCGGGAACTTTTACTCGGAGGCCGTCGAGTCTGGCGACCAAGAGCGGATTGAAAAGACGATGCATGGGTTGCGGATCCTGGCGAGGGACCACTCGAGGATACCGTTCCAGTGGGACGAAAGCCCGAATGCAGGGTTCACAAGAGAGGGCGCGAAGCCATGGATGCGGGTGCATGATGATTACAAGGCCATCAACGCCGCCAAACAACGGGGCGACCCGTACTCGATCCTGGAGTTTTACAAGAAGGTGCTGAGACTGAGGAAACGATACCGCGATGTCTTTGTCCACGGCGCGCATCGGCTGATTGACCCAGAGAATGAGCGGACGTGGACCATCCTGAAAGAGAGCCTGGCACCCGTGAGCGGGAATGAGGGGGTTAGGAGGCGAGCGCTAGTTGTGATGAACTTTTCTCAAGGCGAGGAGAAGGCGAGTAATGTGCCGGCGTTGCTTGGGTGCGAGGCGGGCGAGGTGAGGTTACTGGTAGGCACGCAAGATGGCGGAGAGCTGATTAAGGGAGTTGCCCCTTCGCTCAGAGGCTGGGAGGCGAGAGTGTACACCAACTTTGAGGTTTAGAAGTGATACCCGGGTGCCTTGCATAGGGTATAGGGGTTGGTTACAGAGTCTGCGGAGTCTTCTAATGGTCCTGAGGTGTTTGTCTTTTTGCAGTATACGTCATGAAGCTAGCATGATCACTTACACCGTTTGAAGCGTTTGCAGCAACTAAGAAAGTTTTGTTATCGCTGTAGAGTTAGGTCAGACCAATAAACTGAAACTCTTCTCATGATAACAGTCGCAAACCAGGTTCCTCGACAAACTAAGACAAACGTGCAAGAGTACTCTCTCTTGACTCTGCCGCCAGAGAATCACGAAGAGCTGCGTCTCGCTGGAATTTGCCAGGCAAACTTGCTTCTTAAACTACTGGTGTCAACGAAACACACGCGAGATCCCGCCAAGACCAAGCACAGACCCCAGTGAGGCCTACTTGTGCTATCATGAAGCGAAATAAATACCAATTGCTCTCAAGGATGATGTCACAGGGCCGCATATCGGAGTGAGGTCAAGGGTACAGTCAGTTCTAAGCCATTTACCCCTTTTTTCCGGCAACATGTCACTCGTCCAACAGGGTTTCAATATCGTTGGCTTTGACGCTGTGGACCCTTGTAATCGATTCCTTCTTGAATACTACTCTTCCTCAACAAGTAAGTGTGAAAACGAATCATATGGCCAGACCTCAATGAAGGACGGGCGCTAGTACGCAAGGATGCCCCCGGGTCTGGACACACAGTGTAAGCCGAACTTCGCTCGTGTGAATAGGCGCCTCTTTTGTTACCCATGAGTAGGTATTCTCTTAAACCGTTTTGTCACAGTGTACTCACTGTTCTAGTAAATCTGTACGAGCTAATGCCATCGTTCAAGTTCCCTTTTCAACCCCCGAAAATGCTACCAGAATCATCGTCAAAACCTTTGAATTTTCCGACCACAAGAACCCTCTTTACGAAGAGTTATTTCTTTCACATGCATCCAACCAATTTTGACCCAATACCCTATTTAACCTCCGCATACGCCTCCAGCGCATCATGCAACTGCCCAAAAAGACCCCCGTGCCAACTTCTCACCTCCTCCCATTCACTCTCTGGAATAGTCGCGTGCATCATCCGCAGCCACGCACCGACGATCATGTCTGCATAGCTGGCCTTCGTTCCGAGTAGGAATGGCCCACTAGTGTCCTTCAAAAACAGCTTAGCCAGACCACCCAGCATATTCCGAAACGACTCCTTCGTCCTCTCCCGCTGCTCGCCTTCCAAGGCAAAGTCCTCCCAGCGCGCAACACCAGCGCGACGGATGAATTCCGCCTTGGCAGCCTCCTCAGTAGCTGGATCGAACGGGAAACCCTGCACCGTAAGCTGCACGTGTGCGGTGAAGGCTGCGTCAACGTTCACATTGAACTTGGCGTATTCAGGATATTCACTGTCACGACAATCCGACAGCGGTACAAGGATCCATTCGTGCTTGAATTCGTAGTCGAGCGTCTGAGGGGGGAAAAGGTCCCCGGCGCCAGAATCCGGATACGTCTTCTGTAGGTAGGCCGCGATGTCGAAGGAGTCGCCGACCAATGAATCAGTGGCGGGGTCCTCAATGATGGGCAAGGTATAGAAGTCGGTGCCATCGGCAAATTTGCGACATGGTGGTACTTTGAGACTGCTGCGGATTTTGGAAATGTCGGGCAAAGCCACCCATGAAGTCAAGTATGGGCGACCCTTGAAGTTGAGTGCCAGTCGGGTTTTCCAAGGGTTTGGTGAGCAGCAGGTTTTCTCGACAGGGGGACGTGTGGCGATGTCATAGAAGACGATTGGGCTGGATGAAGTTGACGTTGTCGGCATGGCGAATGATGGAAGTCTACGACCGATAACAAGACTATTCTCCTATAGGATAGATATTGTGTCTTCAACGAGAGAATGGCGTGATGGCTAGTTGGAATATACCAAGCGGCTTACTTATAATCTGTTTAGCTAATGCCTGCTAAACTCTAACCGTCGGCTTAGCTGCACTTTACGCGGGGTAAATGCAAGTGATTCATAATGACTCATAATGAGTAGTGAGAAAGGCTCCACAACATATGTACATCCGATATGTGGTAACCTGAGACATACATAAGATATGCATTTGTGTATTACTGAATCCACGCTCCAAATGGCCAATGAGTTCTTCGATGGCTAAAGAGACATTTACACCGCTTCTCTCCCTGGAAGATTTTCGCAACACCGCAAAATGCGTCGGCAAGGCATTACGGATATATGCGGACGCTAATTTGACCACCTTGATACTAACAGTGGACGATGCCAAGCTCGCCAAGTGCCGATTGGCTCGTTGAAGTTGTAACACGCGTGCTGGGATCAAGGAACCCGTTTTCTGATTGCTCCAATTTCACTCACGTGCATGTATATTTAGCTAACGCTGCGAAAGCTTCCTCTGAACTCAGGAACGTAAAGCATCTTTCCAAAGATACTGTAGCATCGTTCATGTGTGACAAGTACGTTATCTGTTCTATAGCGAAGGAACTCTATAGTAGAACACTTTGTTGGCTCTCATGATAAAGTAATTTATGAAAGAACTAGCCTCCGTTCAACCACTACGCCGGATCTCCGCCTTTCAGTCAGATCCTAAATCTCCTTCCTCTATTTTACAAACATATTCTATGCTATTTTCAACACCAATTTCTTCCTCGAAATGGATTGCAAATCATTTCATGTGCTTCTTAGTGAACCTAAAAAATCTACCCTTTGTACGTCCAAAACCACCTGATTTAGCGGTTTGATATAATCAATGTCGATCCTAGTACGTTCAGGGAGCAAGCCTCTCAGTGCATGCATCTTATCTACAGCCACCTAGCACTTCCAGACTGAAAAGTGCTCCAGAAACGTCATGATCTCGTCCATGCTTTCAAAGACGTGCTTCTGGAAGCTCAAGTGGCTCGTAAGCGTCTTTTCAGTCGCGGATTCTATCTCGTGTGTGTGGATTTCATAGCCATGAGTTGTTGAACGTCTCACTGTCGAGATCAGAAAGTCATTCTTCATAATGCAAGATGAACGCAAACAGTTCAGTAAAGAGCAAGAGTGTAGACCCGCAGAGTATGATGGCGGAGTGTGCAAGGATGGGCTCCTGGATAATCCAGACCCGTGACCAGTAGGGGCGGCGAGAGGGAGAAGCGAAGGCGGCAACCAACGCACTAGGTTCATCTTCAATCTCTTCTCGCAACATCTTGCAAAGCGAGTAGCTGCAGTCAGTATCGATGATATCGTTGTGGCTGGCGTGCCAACCGCCAATTCGGTCGATGAGCGCGTCGCTGTCGTCCGACGAGTTTCCAAGCCATAAGGCTGCTGGAAGGATGTCGAGAAAGTTCAATCACGAGAGCGAGAAATTTCCATAAGGTTACTAGGAAAGGAACATCAATGATGTTGAAGCATCTTGGAGGGGTGCTCAGAAACCGGTGTTTGCCGGCAATATAATTAGCACAGGCAAGGGGTTGAAATGCGGGGTGCGTCATGCAGACATTGAGACAAACTTATTGATCCATGGCACCACATTTTCTACTATACAGATACTCATGAGGGAATAAAATTCAACCGATCCCCCAGATCTCTGCTTACAACCCCTCCTAGCCTCATAACATTCGATGTCACCGAGGCCTGTAGACCGCCACAAAACACCATAACCATGTGCCCTTCATTCCATCGGGTCTCGAATTTCCCCGAGAAAGTTTAGTTGTTGATATGTGAAGCTTTCGCCGCATATTACTTCAAGCCACAAATCATTGAGGACTTGCTTCGGGGCCAGCGCCTCGGTAGTGAAGACAAAGAAGACAGCACGTAGAGGATTCTTGAGAAAAGTGACGACGAAGACGACACGCTGGAGGATGGTGAACAGGCACAAGACACAACAGCTATGGTGTCAACCATATCACCCCCCCCCCCCCCCCCCCCCCCCCCCCGGGGGGGGGGGGGGGGGAAGCCTTGACCTTTCCTTTTACAGCACCACAAAATACCCGTCCTGCCATGCTATCTGTGCGTCGGCTCTCCCGTCAGGTGGAGTTGCGGCTTAGGGGCTTCGCGAATCTCAGAACCAGCGCCGATGATGAACGCCTCAGACATTTTTGACCTGATTTCGTCTCTGACGTAGTTCTTATACCACACCATGACTCTGTGTTTCGCGACGACGAAAGATGGGTAGATATTGTCAACAAGGATAACTACGACCGCATTGAGCATCTTGTAGTCCCATGAGCAGTGTTCCACGGAGGCAGCCGGAGTCCTGACAACTCCTACGAACGAGACAAAAACTGGCGGGCTTTCATAATCCGCCTCACCTGCTCTCCCTTCCCCCACCTAATAAACTTGTACCTCTGCACACCAGTGGTACGACTCAGGCAGGATGACGATATGTCCGAAGTGGGTATCCACTATGCCGAGCCGGACGGCTGCAAATGTCTATGTATTGTGCTTAACCCCATATCAGATATGCTTCACCGCGTGAAGCCGTCTTTTTGTGACTGTGAGGCCAAACCAGGGTCCATGGCAGAAGATATTGGGCAGGTACAGATGTGGCTGCAGTCCAATTTGCTCAAACTGGTGTCTCAACGGTTCCAGATAAGGTCCCATGGGGAGGAGCACCATTTCGTGTTCATGGGGGATGGGTAGTCCGCGAGGGGTTAAACATTGATGATATTACTAAAGGAGGCTCTGAGGCTGACGTATAAGATATGTGTGTACGAGAAGTTGAATCATTGAGTTTAGGCCTAGAATAAAGTCTATTTCTTGACCGTCATGTCATCTCAACTGGGCGGGAACCAAAACGGGCAGATCACGGACCACAATGAAAAGGAGCGCCTCCCTCTTTTATGGTGACATCATTCTTATTTGTACTATAGTAGCCTTGGTTGGAGGATGATGGGATCTGAGTCGAGTGTAGTCAAGTGTTTGCATGCCAAAGAGGCTCCCGCGCTTTGGAATGCAGCTAAGTAGGGCAGGTGCTGGTAGGATAGTTGCAGCTACCACCTTTGCCACCTCCAGTGATGTGGGTGCCGGAAAATGAGAAGTTGGAGCAACTGCCATCTCCGCAAAGGATGTAGTAGTTATACGCGGAGCTAGTGGCCGTTCCCGTGACGCCGATGAACTTGATTTTGGAGATCTTGACGCCGTTCGTGGGCTTGCCAGTAGGACCACCGTTGAGGTAGTCCTGTTGAACATCGATGCCAAAGGTAGTGATGCCTGAAAGAGTGATGTTCTGATAGGTGACGTTGTTTATCTGGTAAAGTCACTAAATTGTACCAACGTATGCGGGTGTCCTGTGTACTTACTGTGCCAGTGGTACCGGAGTTGGACTTGATTCGGCAGCCATTTTCACTATTGACGACCTGCGAGTTCAAGAACGTGACGCCATCGACGGTGTTATTGCTCTTGCCGCCAACAGAGCCAATACTGAGGCCGTGACCGCCATAGCAGTACATGTTAGAGACAGTAACACGGCTACCAGAGGTAACCGCAACGCAGTCGTCCTGGTTATGGACGTTGATGTTGTCCAAAGTGACGCCGTCGCTTGACGAAATATCGAAGCCGTCACTGTTGTGTGCAGCCGGCTTTCCACCACTTTTCGAATTGGGTTGATCGCCAGCAGCGTTGTTCAGTGTTAACCCGGAAATGGTCAAGTCTGTGTTTCCAGTGATTGAGAAACAATGGACTGGCCAATTCTGAATGTTGAGATTCGTGATTTTGGCTTTCGAAGTTTTCTTTACAACAATGAAATGATCCGGCCTGAACATAATATCAGAAAAAGCTAAATGGGCAACAGAACGGAACAGGTTTGGCTCACTTGGGGTTATCAGCATTGTTGGACCCTTCGCCATCCCAGTATGCTTGACCGTTGCCATCAATGACATGGCCGGGAGCACCAGTGATGGTAACGCTGGTTCCGGAAATGATGATAGGGTCAAAGTCATTATCAGCAGTGGTGCCAAAAGTCTACCCATTATTAGTTTTGAGATCTTTGTAGCACTCAAAGATACCGTACAGTCTTGCCGGAGAATGTAACAGTAGCACCAGACTTGAGCTTCTGCAAATCAATTGCACTCGAAGCCGGCACAGCAATGGAATCGAGGACAATGTCCGTGCAGGTCGCAACGGCGTTAGCAATATCGGCATACTGCTTCACTGTGCAAGTACTTCGGGCGGAATTCTGGAATATCTCATGTCAGCGACTTAGATCGGGCCACGAGGCTTTTGCTGTGTCTTACGACGTTGAAGGGTGTCGCTGCAGCCAAGGCCGCCGGCAGCAGAGCCGCAATAGAAACAAGGAATCTAGCCATCTTGGCGTTCATACGATAAGAGTTGGATACAGGGAATCTTGGTTTGATCGTTTGATTTCAGGTTCGAAAGTTATTGTTGTCCTGGGACTTCTGAGGTTTTATATCTAAAGATTCAGACTTCAGTCGTCTCAACTGCCAACTGGTTTTCGACGATAATTGGGGGAACATTTCAATCCTGTCTCCAGGTCTTAGACTAACTTGGTTTCGATAACTCATAGCTAGGATGGTCTCGCTGTCCCATCATGTGCGCATTCTTTGCAGCATTGTCGGCATTTAGTTGCCGTACGAGCTATTGCGGAATGTGTGGGCCACGTTGGACCGGTCCCCCTTTCAGGACGCTTTCTCCCCATTAGTTTGAACGAGCTAGAGATTATGAGAGTACTGAATAGCCCTTTGCCACATGAATAAGCACGCTGTTGACTCTAATATTCCGTTCGGTAGTTGCAGATGTTGGTTAGACCACGGGTTTACGGCAATACGGCACGACCCCTGGTCAATTTTGACTCCATTCGTGGAGAATCTGGGGAATGCGCAGTGAAGTCTCCATATAAAAGGTTTTTAAACATATTGCTCAACTAAAACTATCTCCACCAATTAGTCGCCGAGTATCAAATGTTATTGACTAGTCGCAGCTACTCTATTGTGAATAAATAACTGCTATTGGGCGCAAGACTCAGCCATATCTCATGCGTTTCGATTTAACGTGGTTAGTACCCGCGTGGCAGACGCCTCGCCTGTAGCGGCTGGGGTGAGCGGGAAGTTCTGCGAGTGTGCAGACACTGGAATTAAATTGTCTTCACGCTGTGTAGGTTGAATACTGAAATGTTACGTGACTTGTGGGGAATGAAAATATGCTAGTTTGAGAAGATGATCTTGGGCAGTGAGTAGTTGCATTATGTATACTTGGTAGCATGAAAAGTCCGCAAACTCCGCCAGAATGGAATGTGGCAGTATCGCGTTACTGGGATTCAAATGCAAATGACACCAATCCTTCCATCAATTCATTGCTAATCAAACCAGAAAACAGGCTTTGGACATTTGTCACAGGACAAGCGCGCCCAGTTCATATACGCATTGCACAAGCGTGCGAGCAATGGCTGACCTTTTGGTCCACTGACTCAATGGTCTATGGTGCAGGAGCGTCACTGCAGCGCAGCGCTACTTCTCTTAAATTACGGCCATCCTTAATTTACTTGGTTACGGCTGTGTTAACTGTAAATGCTCGTGCTCGTGTGTCAGTGAAATTTATGTTGGTCGTGGTGCCGAAACCATGGGTCTGTAAGGTCTCATGTGCCTCGGCACACATTGTTAGGGCGCGCGTTAATCGTCTCGAACATTCTCATTAGTAGGATCACTACTCCCTCCACAATGCTTTCCACCTCTGCCACGCCGCCTTTACAGTTACGTACAATGGTACTACAACACTGAGAGTCAGAAGGCTTCAGGAATCCTTACTGTTCTTAGCTCCCAATATGAGCTCATGGCATCATCATAACATTATTTTCAGGACCCAAAGATCACAATTCAGTATCCTCTTCTTCCTCTATTAGCATTGTAAGTACGCAGACCGGGATAGACTCTTGTAAGGCAGCTCTCACACCCATACACAAGACGGGTATCCGCAACCGATGAGAATCTGGCATTTCGATGCACAATGGAGGTAAAATTCATCGCGAATTAACTAAAACAGGAGACATACCCACTGAAGAAACCCGATCGACGAGGAAAGCTCAAAGAATTCTCATGGCGAGTTTGAGTCTGGGCCTCTGATAGGTGCTCGTATAGCCTACGGCGGACTCGAGCAGCTTCGTGATCAGCGAGAAAGCCAGAAAACCGGACGCTCCATGCTACTTGATGAAACTCCAGGTTCTAAGTTGGTACAAGGATTCGTTTTTGTCTTCCAGTTGGTTACAACTTTGCCGTAGTCCAAATGCTGGGGCCAAGACAAGAATAGCATCCAAAGACTGTGAGACGTAACTCACAGAGCGGATGCAGCTGCCCATTGTTGCAGGAAAATTGCGGAACAGACTCTGGATTTCAACGACCTGATCTTAGTGTCAAAATGAGGCTTTCATATAGCTCATCGGAAAGCGACACGTGGAATCAGTATTATGATTGTCAGCAGCTAGGATTCAGATGATCTATTCTCATTATCCTAGACTGGATTCAACTTGGCTACAGCTTGCGCCAATTGAATCTGGATCATTTCCCAGGAGAACAACTCCAAATGTGGATATGTCTTTGGAATCGTGCGTAGGGTGAATCTCGAGGCGCAACGGTCACCAGCACTGCACCAGACTGCAAGTAGGAAGCTCGGAATCAGTGTGGCTTAGCCAATGACTAAAAAGAAAGTCGACTTTCGACGAATATAGAATGCGCAGCTTGTCAGCACCTTTCAAGCTTAGGGTAGCTCCTTCGCCTCCCTGCTGCAGATGACATCGCTGTAGCCTATTAAGGTGTGGTCAGCCCTACCGCGTTTTGGTTAGCACGAGATCAGGGTGGCAGGATTTCGTCGCTGCATGGGTTGGATGCCCATCTCACTTTATCTGCCCTGCTTATCGGTACGTTTTCTGCACGACAATCAAGGGTTCTATTGCTGCGACCAAGATTGAAGGCAAGAAATAGATCAAAGGTTTGCCTTCAACATACTTGACCGTTGATGCAAATCTATAGCTGTTGTTGACATGCTTCACTGTTAAATGGCTATGACCTCACGGCCCAAGTTAGTTTCTGAGTGTTTGCATTTTCCTTTCTAGCAAATATGATTGGGAATGGGACTTGTTGCAAGGTGTTCCAGGCACTATGATTCCTTCTGGGGCAAAACAGAAAGATGAGATTATCGGGTGATTGACGCGCGAAACATCAAAAAAATTTACCCACATGACATTGAAACGCGACAAATTGGTCTACACCACGTGGAGAACAATGATGGATGCAAATAATAGAACTGTCGAATTCCGCAGCCCCCGCTTGGCACCCTTAGCGAATTTTGAATGCTGACGATCCTATTGTGGACGAACAGACTCCCGCGCCCCCCTACCGTTTCTAAGGTAGTGTCTCCCAGAAACGTGGTAACCAAAACATTTTCTTGCACCGCCCGCGTCAGCCCTTCTGTTGGCTGTGCTGTCAGCACCAATGTGCAGCCCCATCCCATCCTACACTTGTGGCATTTCGGCTATCATCCTGGATCATCGTCAGCAGTATCACCCTGAGGTGTGCGTTGTACCCTTTGGTTGCGAGTATCTCTCCATGTAGTCATCAAATGATTCCAAAAGCATCAGCCGAAGGATGCTGCGACACAAATCGTGAGTGTTGCTAGCCTAGACCGGCAAACTGTTGATCAGGCTACCAGACTTCTCGTAGCATCACGAACCATCTATATAACTAACACCCACGCACGATGCATCTCTAACTCCTCCCATCATCACTCGCATCACAATCACCAAAGCAACAAACAGCTTTCCACTTTGTCTCTTTCCTATCTCAAGGTCCTTGTTTCCTTTGTCAGCCGGGTTTCCCTTTCTGCCATTTCCAACAGCAAAAGACAAAAAAACATAAATAACCAACATGTTCGCCTCTACCATTCTTTCTGGCCTGCTCTTCTCTGCCGTCGCCTTGGCTGCCCCGACCGCTCCGAACTACACTTCTTCGGCGGCACCTGCCACCAAGACCAGCGGCTCCATCGACGATGTCCTTCCTCCAATTGTTCCCGTCAACACTCGCTCCGGCAACCAAGACCTCATCACCAAGCTCATGACCGCCCCGACCTCGCAAGAGCGCGCCCGCCTCCTCAACCAGCCCGGTGATTTCGTCTTCGACTTCAACGATGCCAGTGCCCCAACGGGCTCCGAAGCCCGCGGCAAGGGCGGCTTCTCCACTTCTGCGACCGCCAAGACCTTCCCAGCCCTCATTGGCAACGGCGCCGCGATGACCCTTGGCTTCCTCGGTCCCTGCGGCATGAACACGGCTCACGTCCACAACCGCGCTACCGAGCTCAACGTCATCGTCAAGGGCCGCCTCGTCACCAACTTCATCATTGAGAATGGCCTCGATCCCATTGCCAACACTATGAACACCTTCCAGATGTCCGTTTTCCCACAGGGTGCCATCCACCAAGAGTTTAACCCGGACTGCGAGGATGCCGTGTTCGTTGCTGGTTTTAACAACGTTGATCCCGGAGTCGAACAGGTTGCCCAGACCTTCTTCAACCTCCGCCCGGATGTTGTCTCTGCTACCCTTGGCGGCGTGCAGACCATTGATGGCGCTGATCTTGAGAGCTTCCGCGACCACATCCCTGCGAACATTGCCCTTGGCATTGACGCCTGCTTGAACAAGTGCGGCATCAAGCGCAATGCGAAGCGAGACCTCAACGAGATCTTTGGTTCGGCTTAAAACCAAGTCAATGGTAGTTTCACTTGTAGATAGAATACGGATATGTCTGTTATAGATACTGGACTAATCAAGTCATCAGCATTAGTAGGCATAGGAGTGGCGCATAGGTTGGGGTGCATTGGTTCGGTTGCATAGCCCGGAGGTTCTGGTTTATAGGCGTTAGGTTCAAGGTTGATTCCAATTCCATTAGCAATATACATATGCACAAATTTGATCATCAACTAACCCGCTACGCTCGTCATAATGCTATACTACTTGAACGTTGTGAGGCCAAGAGTCCTTAGATAATCACTCAAAGCGGATGAATCAATCAGGAAAACCAGTTTCCCAGTCTCGAACAACCCTCCTTCTGGTCACCGTGTTACATGAAAAGACACTTATGGCGCGAAATAGGATCACAGCCCGTCAGTTCTGGCTTTTTCTTGCGCTGAAAAGCGACAATTAGCAACGCGCTCCTAGTTGTGCTGACTAGTTAACCGGCGATACCAAACATCTCTTCGGCCAAGGCAGCAGCTAGAGTGGTCCCTTTTCATTTCCATATTTGCAGAGTCAGTAGAGGGTATCGTCGAGTTCTCCCCAAATACTCGTACATAGGGTGATATAGGTGGGCTAAAACGGACTGGGATAGCGAAAGATATGCCATCATTATGTCGTTCAAACATGGTTATTGTGTATCCCTTTTTCCGTGAGACATACTCTCTGGCATGAATGAAGAGACTCTATTAGTGAGCGGTAACGGTAACAGAGTAGGGAGGGATATTTGCGAGACTATCTCAAGAGCGTTGAAACCAGAGCAAAGGCATCAAGAGGAAATCGGATGCATGCGTCTGATACTTCAAAGATTGAAGCTCCCTAATCTAGTCTGTTTCCAACTCCGGGTGCCTTATATGTGCTATGTAAAAGTTTACCAACCCCACATGTTCTGAACACTCCCACAATGACTAGAGGGAATGGTGCATGAACCAGCACCAGCACCAGGTGCCGCAAAACACTTGTTACCCCCCGAGCTTGGCTGAATACAGACGTATTGCACAGGAGTTGAATTCGGCCAAGTCTGCCTCAATTGACAGTCTTGCTGAAGGTCAACCGCGGTGCCCTTGTCGCGAGACCACCACTTCCATGTGTTGCAGCCGCCTTCGAATCTGAAACCGGTGATGGCATCTCCGCTAGCGGTTCTTTCGGGGCAATCAGCTGCGAGAGCCGATACGACGAAGGCCGCAGTTGAGAAGATGGAAGTCATGCGCATCTAAAACGTTAGTAATGCATTTGCCATAGTTGTAGAATGGTTACTGACTGTGGAACTACGTTGTATCGAATCTTTTTTTCGCAGTGTATAATTAGTGAGACTAACAGTTGAACAGAGTGTTAGGAAACAATCAAATGAGTGACTATTGTAAAGCGTTACATTTGTTTAGATAGCATTAGCTGATGTTGAGGAGTGCGTGGCTTTAATAGGTAGTCTTTATAGCTGATGGATTCCTAAACGGGGTGATCATAAATCCACTTCGGCACTGCCCGCGTAAAGTTTACCACTACCAGCTAAGATTATCGCCAAGGAACTCGATGTGATGGCAGTAAAGCATCACGGGGTAGAGCACTATGTTACAGTTGATTTGGCTCAATTAGTCATAAGTGACGGTTTTCCCGATCTGACTCGTGGTAACAATCAAGTGGGAAGCTGCCATTCTTGGGATGACCTTCGTCACGTTGCCGGGCTGCCCCTGTCAGGACGTCTGCGACGGCCTGTGTATGGGACGATAGACATCAAGCCATACTAATGGCTTCAGGCAACTGAGTCAAAAACTAATATTCTGTCCTTTTTCTTCTGTTTTCTCTGTGCAACGATAGTCGATTCGAACAATTTTATTTAATTGAGGCAAAATATATGAACTTTATGAGATACGCATGAGGTCTTGGCAGGTCCCCAAACGTACCGGAGGATGAGAATTCAAAAATGAAGATCACAAATCACAATTTGGAATTCTTTCAGTTGCGAATCAATGGTAGTCATGTCTACGCCCCATTTGCTGCGAAGCGAAAGCGAGCCGGCATTGAACAGCAAAGCTGTCCTCAAAGTAAAATTGACTACCTTCTTTCCAAATAGCATAGATCAGCCTCCAGGCACCTAAAGCCTTCGGTAGTCGGGATTTTCATTGCAATCACCACGACAAAGCGTAAGTCCACCGAAAATTAACACTCCGAAATTATAAGTAGGCATCAGTGAGTTCCCAACATTTACCTATACTGTCTCAGTCCGTACACTCATTCACTCATTTACCCATTCACCAACTGTTCGAACCCCAAGGCTACCGATAAAAGCCCTCTGCTTTCTCAAACAACTTTCAACTCTCAACCCTGCACAATTGCACCCATAGCGATCATGAAGAGCCAACATATTGCCTTGCCGGGCCTCCAAGCCGCCGCCATTGCTTTCCTCGCCGCGCGCACCACGGAGGCCAAGGTCTTCTGCGCCAATGCGAACAACGAAGTTGTCGTCGACATAAGTTGTGACGGCAAGCATCCCGCCGGCTCATTTTTCAGATTTAGCAGCGAGCTTGAGAGTCTGCCCGTCGGCAGCATCATCGATGCGAACACGGAAAAGTACGATGCCGCTGATGTGATTGATCGCCAGAACGCCCAGTTTCCGCCCGACTTAGTCTCTGGCGGGTTCGGAAAGCGGCAGTGCGACGACGGCAGCAGTAACGGCAGCTAAAAGCCTTGAACGGATGATGGGGGTTGTGGTGTTATATTGAAGCGGCGGGTCCTTCTCACTTTGTTCGCTATTGTCATACATACGGACAATCGCAACAGTCGTGAGGCATGCGTGCATTTACAGCAGTCAACAAAGACGCAACAATTACATTTGGTTTACCTAAGGACATAATTTCCAATCAACCGCCCTATGCTCCTAGACTGTGACTTTAACTCATAAGGATTGTTGATTGTCATCAATGAATGGTGACGCATCAATGGGGGCATGAAGAAAGCCATATAGAAAGGTTCGGAGATACCGTTTCCAAGTCTTAAAAGCAGAACTTTTAGATTGCGTTCGTCTGATTCGTGATAGGCGTCGATCATCATTCTATAAATAGAAACTAGAAATTGCACCACAATTTAGCGGGAAGTGATTAGTGCATGAGCTCAAGCTTCTGACTTAATAATGCAGCGGAGCAGCCCTATCAAATGAATCTAACAAACATATTAAACAAATAAGCACATTGACGTTATTTTGGTAGTTAAGTAAACAGTAAACTATTGCTGCTATTTAAACGACTTGATCAAGCATAATTGGTTAGAAATACTGTTTTCCGGGCTATTTGACCACTTGTGAAATGAAAGGGGACAAAAACCACGCTTATTTCCTTCATTAAGAAGGATCTCAGCATAGGCTTACAGCAGGAATCAAACCCACAACCCTTAGGATAGATAGTCTAGGATTATACCATTTAACTAAATAGATAAAACTTATCAGAATCGAGAGTTGGTCCACCTAAGTATAGTATGCCGCTGCTATGGATCATATTTTCCGTGTTGCGTACACGCATGCCAGCAACCCCGTTTCTTAACGTTTCCCGTTATGCTACAGCAACCAACACCCAACAACAACTGACCACTAACCGATTTACATCTACACTTTGATCCTTAACAGCAAAGGTTAAACAGCAACTGACCATTCAAACAAGATTTAGACCTTATGCGGTCTGTGGCAGCTTGCTTTAATTGCTTATTAGCTTTCTTCTTTGCTAACAAAGGCCAGTAATGAAATTGCACAGGAACACAAGATAGGGAAGAGGTAGGTCAAAACCACATAAATATCCCAATGCTCAGCTAGCCTACAGTGCACCCCAGACCTGGATTCAAGAGGTGACTAATAACATCCATCATAAGGTCAGCACGTGATGAATCACTGTGCAAGATGCCTCCTGGTCTGACCAGGGCGAGAAAGTCCTTGTATAAGTGATATCTCAAGTCCAAGAATCTGTTGGAATGGCGACAAAGTGGCTAAAGAGGATCTGGGTGGGATATTCTGCAGGCAAAAGGTTTACTCTAAGAACACATGCGGCTCCTGTCTGAGTATCAAGGTCTGATATCAGTGATGATTCCCGACTGCTCCTTTTTCCTCTTGTCTACTGCCCTGAATCCTCCTCATGTCTGTTCACATGCCGCTATGAAGTCCAACCTAGCCTCTTACAGAACTCCGACCTTGGTCTTGGCTGCGGCATAGCGGGCATCTGTAGCCTCACGGTCTCAAGTTCTTCGCATGTGCAAGCCGGCGTGGCCCAAACTGCCCGCCCAACAACCTTTCCTTTCTCATCAACTAGCAGGCAAATGCCTCCTGGATGAGTTGCATTGAATCCAAGGCCCGGGAATCGATACATTGTGGTGCCATGCACTTGATTTCGGTCATTTTTGATAAAAAGACCAGCATCAATAACCGAGCGAGTACCGCAGGCTGCGCACTTGATCCAGACATAGAACCGACGCCATGTAAGGTGCAATACCATGCCTTGCGCGCCCTGGTAGTCGAAGCGAGACTCGGCTCGTCCGGGCCAACGAGTCTTAATGCCCAAGACGTTGATGATGTCAGGGGCATTATAGGGAGTCCCCCGAGGCCAAGGCTGTCCCGGGACCACTTTGGAAAGCGCAACGACTGTCTTCTCCAGCTTTTCTCGACGATCCCCTACCGACAATGCTTTCATCATGTTCTCTTTTGACTCGAAAAACAGTCGTGCACCAAAGGCCTCAGCAAAGCCCTCCACGCTCGGCACAGCAAGGCTGTGTGCGCAGAAGTGAGCAAGCTGTCCATATTGCCCACACCACTTTTCGAATTTCCAGACAGTTCCAGCCTTTTGCATTTTGAGAAGAATGTCACCATTTTCCATAAGGCGGAGGGCATCGTGATATTCTGGCGGTGACTTCATGTGACCCATACTGTATGCCTGTTGGCTGTGTTAGTGTCTACTCGCATCTTCGAGTTGATTTTGGTTTAGTGGTATTCATCCATATATCCATAGCACAGAGGCAGTGAATATCAGATAATGTAGCGACCGGGGAGGGGGGCAGGCTAACATAAACATCATGATATCCCTCACGGACATTGTTGGCCGGCATATTCCGAACATCTAGACCATCCTCGGGCCCAAACTCCGGTGTCATCAGCAAAGGAGTGTAGTCACCTTCCTTCAAACACCGAAGTGCCAGATTCAGGTACATTTTCTCCCAGTTGTGCCCATCCAGCTCCGTGACTGAGTGACCGGTGACGATACCTTGGAGTGCGTAGAGAAAATCGTTTTTGTCTCGACAGCTACGACGAGACAGCAGCGCAAAGGCGAGACCGAAGTTGCGGCTGTTCGACTTAGCGCGGCACAGGCCCAGTGGACCAATATTCCAGGGCATCATGTTCTTGCCCATATTCAACCGATGCTCCAGCTTGTGAGCATCGCCTCCATGCTTTGCAATCTGCTTACTCCAGAGTTGGCTGAGCTGCTTCTGGTAAACATCCCCCGACTCTTCGCCGTGCATTCGCAGCTCAGAATCCATTACCCGAACTTTTGCGCTTCGGATGTACTCCATGGCGGTCCAGACACGGCTGAACCACTTAGCGTTGCAGAGTCCTACCATGCCATCCAGACGAGCTGCATCCTCTGATGCGTGGAGCAACTTGTCAAACATCATCGGCGCGACATCTTCCAGGTGGACGATTGTCAAGGTCGAGCTAGCGTAGATCCTGTGCACCACCTGGAGGATTGAAGTCTTGAGGTCCGGGGACCACTACGTCGTCAAGTCAGCAAATGGCGTGGGAAGGTGCGAAATTGGAAATGGTTTATTCTAACCTGGGGCACACTGATGTAGTCATGCCACACTTCCACGTCTTTCTTTAGTGCCTTCGAGATGTTTCGAGCTATCTCAGTGGGAAGGCGTAATGCCAGGCGCTGCATCTCCGGATCTTGAGGGCCCAGGCGCCCTCGGTTTTGGGCATCCGAGATTTCCTTGTGCCAGACATGCGAGACAGTGACGTACTGGACGTTATCGGCCAACAAACAGGATAGATGGCGATCGTATAGGACTAGATCATATCCATCCGTTGTTTGTAAGACTTTGGTCCCGTGTTGCCGCTCTTGCCCTGGTGAAAGAATTCGGAACGTTCGGATCAGTGCGTCTTTAGAAAACGTCTCCGTACATACGCCGCAGCGCACATCAGGCTGCTCGTCAAGGTACCAGAGAGTCTTTAGGTCTGGGTACGGTTGACCTGACATTTTCAGACTTGTATTGTGTTATTGCTTTGCAAGTGTTAATTACGGCCCGACAAGACGACAGGCATAGAACCCCACTGGCAGATAGATGCAGGCGGCATAGCAGTTGTAAAGCAAAGAAAACAGCGTTAAACAGGTGACGCCTTAGACATGAAATATCTACCGTAAGGTCAGGTAGATATTGAAAGGAAGCAGAGAAGCGAAGGCAGCGCCAAGGAGTTGAGGATGGCGTTCTAAGGCCCTTGTTATTTGAGTGACAGACAGACACAAGCTGGCTGCTGACATGCACTCTCGCTACTAAAAAAAAATCAACAATTCAGATGCCGAAACTTTTTTTTGCCGCAGCCTGCAAGGCTTGTGCAACACATTCAGCAGCTGCAGTAAGCTGACAGCCAAGCCAACATTCCGCTTGAGAGCAAGCCAGACTTCCTATTGAGGCTTAGTGAGGATAATTATAGTAGCAGTATTAGTATTTTGCTCACACTTGGCGTAGTAATTATTCCCAGCATTTTAGCAGCAACAGGACAATCCTATCCAGGCAGACTTGCCGATGTAATCAGTTTGTTCTCCTCTAAGCAAGTAATCAATTAATCCAAGCAACTCAAGACCATCTAAACTGATCTGATCTACCTAAATCCTAAAATCACGAGACAACTAGCAATTGCAGTAAAGTGAATATCAGCTCGATCGTACCTCGCTGCTTCTCATCTTGGTCTCCCATACAACCTCGCGGAATCTGTACTTGAGTACTCCAGAGATATGTTCAAGATGGGGCAGGCTTGGGAGCTTCTTCTTGCGTCATGCAATTTGACGAATGCCCTGCTTGCAATCTCCGCCCATTCGGATGCATATGTATTATCGACTTCCAGTTATATGTTGACATATGAGGGCGTCGGGGAGCGTGGGAGAGTCTGAACCTGTGGAAAGCATGACGGCCGTCTTCAGCAAAATACGACTTCCTTGGTGTCGTGCCTCAGAATATCATACCGGAATGGGGAAAACAGATGGGGCTCTTAGGTCTTTCCGAGTGGGTTAGGCCCCAGGCGTATGTGTGCGAAGCAGAATCAAGGAGTCAGGTGATACATGAGGCAAATCTGATAATCACCCAATTGTGTACCAAGATTTGATGAGTACATTAAAACAAAGGGAGATCCAGCTGATTAACGTGCTGGTATAGAGAAGTACTAAAGAGAAGCCTCCGGATGTCCAGAAATCAAGCATGGCATAACTCGCGATCAGCACCACACTCAACCGTCAATTCCGATACCGTTCATTGTCACTTTTGACAATGTCAAGCGGCAGATACCCTCGGCGCGCACCATGTCGAAGTTCCCAAGACGCGTATTAATGATGTGAATTGCGGATGCCAAGGCACTAATCTAAGTAAACCAGACCAATGCACCACGTCTTTTGTATGAATCCCCCGCGCAAAACTCCGTTTATGAGGTGCAAAATGCCA